CTTCGACACTATGGTGTACCTGAGAAGATCATCAACATCAGTAAATATTGTGACTAAGGTATTGTCCCGTCAACGTTGGTTTTCGAAAGATGGATTGTTTGCTTGAACCATCTTCTTGTCTACTTGTTAGCATATCTAAGAAGAGAAGCCGGTCATTCTTCTCCTCTTCCCATCAAAGGCTGATGTGATTTTGCAGAGTGTTAAGTCTACTCAATAAACAATTCATATCGTCCTTTCTTTCACAGATAACTAAGATGTCATCTTCATATCTCTTATAAACAGACATGTTTACGATTAGGTCTTCAGCTAGATTTGCAACATGTGTTGTGAACACATCTGCTAATAATAGTCTAATGGACCAACCATAGCAACCAGTCGATCTGGCAAAACTATTCACATTCAAATATGATCTGGACGTTGTCAGTACATAATAGTGCCAAATCTTTAAGAAGTTTTAAAGGAACAGGTAATTTTTTAAGGCTGTTCAAAGATATGTGGTCGCATAATATATCAATAGTCGTTTTCAGAGGTATATTTGTGAACAGGGAATTCACGTCAAAAGAACACATTGTCTTTCTCTTCATATTAATATCACTTAAATGATCGACCATCTCAAAAGAATCGTTCACAAAATAATCATATAAACGTGTTCCAACAGGATCCAGTAATTTAGCTCGGTTATGTGTAGGTGTTCGACGCACTGATAAAATTGGGCGTAAACAAATGTTTGGTTTGTGAATTTCAGGTAATCCATGTAAATGTCCATACTCAGAACCAATAGGTTTTAGGAAATTAAATTCCTACCTACCAATAATATTTATGTGTAGCAGTTTCACTAGGTTTGGATTTATTCTCCCCTCTACTTTGCTAATACCTGCAAATTCACCATCAGGCATAAATTTACTTTAATCACTGAGAATGGATAATGTCTTACTTTTACATTCACAATTGTTCTTGACAATCACGCCTGATCTTTTATCAGGCTTTAACAAGACAATATCAGAGTTTGTTCGTACGTATTTTAGTGATTTAAAATACTGATTAGTTAATATGCTTCTCTGCTTTGGTCCACGATTAAGGGATCGGTGGGCTATACCCAACAGTTTACATTGGTCTCAGCTTTGATTATTTAAAGACGTAGGGGTTAGCGTACTCAGTTGATCCACTATCCGACACTGGATGTCAATCGGTCAAGTAAGAACAGGTGAAATCCCACATCCACATAAAAACTAATTCATGCCCTCTGCTAAACCAACAAATTCGAACGTGACACGGATATATATTCATCAAATAAATATTCATTAAATATTTCGCTTTCATTACTAACATGATTGTCTGTGGATTCGAAATGGTCTAATGATTTATCAAGAATAATCTGACGAATCTTCGGGCAGTGGAGGTGAACGATGCGGAAGCACTTACCAACATGCAGACCTACTACACTTATTTCAATCACATTGTCTGACATGCCCTGATCCAGCAGACTTTGAAAGTAAACTTCTTTTTGATACTTAACTATAAAAAACATAGACAAGAATTTGATAACTAGTTTCGGAACTATGCAATTTGTCACCAAGATAGTGTAATATTACAGAGCCAGTAAGAATATGTACGAGTAAACAATTATGTGATTCTGTTTTCTACAATATCAACACTATACTCAAGGTATCCACTTTAAATTTCCAAACAGAATAATCTGACGAAGCTTCGAGCAGTGGCGGTTGTCGAGGAGTTGAACCGGGTGCTGCCTTAACTGGAATAACCGGGGGTTCGTCTAGGTTTTCGTTGCGTTTTTCCGTAAACGTCTTCATCACCAGTTGTAACATGTATAATCAGCAGTACTGAAAGTCACAGCATATCTACGCAAAGTTTCAATGTCCGAACGCTTTGACTACCTCGTACCCTACTTGAGCTATGAAGCAGTAAGAAGAGCTACAGCCAATGGCTTTGCGACAAGTAACACACTTGCGCGAAATCGGAGAATCCTAGACGACTGTTTTTCCATACCCGTGGACACCCAGCAGGTGACGATCCAGTTCTTATCACGTAACCAGAAAGCAAGCGAGAATCTGATCGACTACCTTAGCTCTTTGCAGCAAATAGCGGTGCAGGCATTTCCTAGTCTAGATATCGTTGGACGAGAGTAATTAATACGCCCGCATTTCGTCGAAGGGCTGGTGCCGGGTTCACTAAGTGAACACTTTCTCCGAAGCCCACCAGTTGATACAGCTGACTTGAAAAGAACAGTACTCCGTTTCCTGGCTGAAGACAAACTAGCGAATTCATGAGATGCACACCTACCATCGGTGATGACTGCGGAGGAAGCCACAGAATCTAGTTGCCTGGACAGTTCCCAGAGGGCAACGGCTGTTACAGACTTTTCTAGCCGGGGTACCAGTCGCGGACAGTCAAGCTCGAGGTGCAGTAGATGGTCATCATGGAACAACTACCATGGCCATCAAGCTCAATGCATATACTGCAAAAGGTTTGGCAGGAATGCTGAGAGATGCGGCCATAACCGTTCCCATAACCCAGGTAAGCCGTGTCTTTATTATTTATCTTCTTCTCATGTTGATCATGTCTCAACGATTACGGTTAGAGGTAGAGTGCAAGGCGCTGAGATAGAAATACTACTAGACACGGGAGCTTCGGTATCTCTTATCAAGGAAGAGCTCTTGAGGAAACTGAACTATAAAACTCAGCAAAATCGGTGTCTCTCTACGTTAATCACAGCATGTGGCGATCCTTTGAAACTGTGCTCTAAGGTGTGGTTAGACCTCACGATAGAAAAGCATCAGTTTCGGCACGAATTCTTAGTTTCTCCTGCATTAACTTGGGACATGATTGTAGGCGTTGATTTCATGTTAAAACACCAAGTCTCTATATTCATGGATAGGTCAGAAGCAAAAATTGGTGAGGCTATAGTACACCTGCACCACTATGAGATGCCAACTAAGTCTATAGCCCATGTGAGGATGTCAAAACTTGTACTTCAAGTATATAGCAATCAAATAATAACAGAAAATGACCACCGCGCAACGATTGCTATGTTCCAGCAGTTAAGTTCTGTGTTTGAAGAAGGTATTTCCGGAAATCGGACGACTATAATGCAACACATTCTTCACAGGTGACCACACGACACTTCGACAGCCACCTCGTCAGGTACCAGTGCACTACCAACCACAACTGGATGCAATGATAAGAGATATGGTAGACAAAAACATTATAGTCCCTTCATCCTCTCCGTGGGCGTCACCTATTGTTCTAGTTAAAAAGACTCCTCTCTACGTAGATTATCGACGCCTGAATGCCGTAACTAAACGTGATCCCTTTCCGCTTCCGTTGATCGATGCTACATTAAACACCTTAAAAGGCGCAAGTTGGTTTTCGACATTGAACCTAGCGTCTGAGAATTGGCAAGTGGAAGTCCGACTGCAAGATAGGAAGAAAGCGGCATTTATAGTACCAAATGGTTTATATGGATATCAAGTGATGCCTTTTTGTTTAACGAGTGCTCTGGCTATTTTTCAGTGACTAATGCAAACAGTTTCACAAGACAGTACCCCAAAAATGTTTGATTTATCTTGATGGCATTATTGTGTATGGTATCACACCCGAACAACACAATACTAGTCTGAAAGCAGTACTTCAGAGCATAAACAACAAAATTTTAAAAACCGTCACTGTTTTACTCTTGTGATTTGTTGCATGGTGTTCTCCACCTTTCAGTGACTGCCGATTATACGTGTTACAACTGTTTGTTAGAGCAATCACTAATTCCGGTCTCTTAAGAAGAAATATTCTTCCACAGTGTGAGCAACCAGGAAGTAACAACCGCCCCTCAGCACTCGAGATCATCCTGTTGGCGATCGAATCCCTCCCTCACCTCTTAATATTTCCTCCATCCCCACAACTAACCCTTATTTATCTTTGTCATCACGCGCCACCTATGCTAATGATTTGAGTTTACGAAATTTTATTCCTGGTTTCCTGAAACCACGCTCCAAACTATGTATTGGAGCTTTTGATGTTCGAACCTTGTGTCAAATTGGAGAACAGGTTTCTTCAGTTAGAATTGTAGAATCTCGCGCCATCGATTTATTCTGCATCTTTGAAACGCGCACACAGGCTCCAAGCGCGGTCATTCATTTAACTTCATCTTGTCGACACAAAGAACCGGTACGACTTACTCTTTTAGCATCTGGAGACCCCACTGCTACTTCCGGGGCTTCGCTGATGCAGGTATAGCGTTAAGTTCTAAAGTAGAACAGTTTTTGTTAGACTGGATTTCAATAGATAATCGCTTGTGCTCTGTTCGACTTAACAGAACAGTAAGAACTCGAGAAGGTAGGTTCATACACCGTTGCCTTTTCGTTGTCTCTGCCTACCCTTCCACTGAAGCTACCCAACCTCCCTCAAAGAGCTAAACACTCTGGTTTAGCAACAATGGCAGGTGATTTTGACGCTCAGGTAAGTAAACTCAACAAACCGAAAGGCACTTGGGCAGATTTTACGGTGTTGCGGCTCAGAGAACAGATAATGGCAACCGTCTTGCAATTATGCTCAGATAACCGTCTATTTCTGGCAAACACCAACTTTAAGCATAAGGAGAAACGTCGTCTGACGTAGCGACCTCCGCGATCGACTCAAGTAGATCACATTGCCATTAGCCATCGTTGGAGTGGCTCGATTGAAGAGTCTCATTCTGGAGCACATGTTTAGACTCGGATCATGTCCTAGTTCAACTCAATGATGGGGAAATTAAGATTGTATTTCAGGAACCATTAGAGGAGTTGTTCAACCGTGAAAGTGGTATCCAACCTGATGTAGCTTGATGTGATATCCAAAAGCAGCGATACCTACTAGTAACCTAAACCAAAGGGTTAAGAAAAATTAGTGGATTTCGGTGGCGTCTACAGAACTGATAGATGCTCACAAACTCATCCTGTCTGGCCCTGAATCACAATTCTGAAGGCCAACACATCATAACAAAGAAAAACTGTTAAGCATCAACGATATAATTAATTATTGCATTGGCAATCAAATTAAAAAATAGTTATCAAATCATAAAAATACATAAGGAGGAAAATAAATTTTGAGTAAAAATCAAAAGTACCGTAAAAAATAATAAATAAATAAGTAAATAAATAAATGAGAAATGAATTTTTCTGGGTAATCATTATTAGTGACATAGAAACCTTTTGATTCAACCAATCAGAGAGAGGGGATTCAGAGAAATAATTTACACCCTGTAAGATGCTAATTCTAAACAAAAGAGAACGATTATTCAGAATCAACCTCCTCTTTATCACAAATTACTTTATAGGTACCTAAATTAAACAATAAATGTTTGTGAATCTTATTTATCTTATGATCATTATTAGTATCGAGCAGCAAATTTCACCTGTCAAACTGATTAGGTTATCAGGATCAGTTATATGAGAAAATAGTGAAAGCTGAATTCTAATCAAATGAAAGATATCAAAAGTAAAAACATAAAATGAGGAGAGCAGTGATGAGACTGGAAGATAAAAACACTAAATGTTATGGTCTCTTGATAGTGTATTTGAACTAGAAAGGCTGAAACAATTATGAGAATTGTATTGTTGTTTTCGTATTTTATGTCATGAGTACTTCAAATACTTTACAGTTTCATAAAACTCAGGTCACAGCTTGTTATTTAGCGATACAAACCTCAATGTGACGAAAAATTACATAATTAATGGCAAAATAGGCTTCATTGAGTGAAGAAAGTTAATCGGATGCTTCGTCACTTGCTTCTTCATTTGGAAAAACATGCTTACTGTTTTGAATATAACGATTAGATTGAGCTAGCATTGAAGTATCTCCCTGGAGTGATGAACAAGACGAACGCTTATGACGAATCCGGCTATTATGTCCCTTTATCGAAGTGTTATTACCACGGGACTCTATATTTTCATTGGTTTTATTCGTACCATTAAAGCATGTTGTTCTTTTAGAGTCTGGATTTGGATTATAAACTCCCGGAGTAAATGAGTCACCATTGTCAACGCGTTGTCCAATCATATTTACATAAGCATTGAATTCTTCAGACATCTGAGCATACACTTGATGTCCGGCTCCTTCGATTACCTAAAATATGGGTATTCAGATTACTTCCTGTAAGATTGATACCATAATAAAAATCTAACAAAAATAAACAATCTTTTTAATAAATAGACGGGTGATTTCGAAACAACATATGTTAAAAGTATTTAGGAGTACAGGTGATATAACTGATAAAATTAATTAACTGTGATACCTGAAATGATGCATGAAGTTAGAACGAAATGATTGAAAAAATCTAGGAATTAAAACTCATTTGTATACTAAAATAGCCACCTATTTTAGATAATAAATAATTATTCAAGGAAGAAATCAAAAATTAACTAATACTATTTCGCGTTTGCCCGTTGTAGCGATGATTATATAAGGGAAAAACAACTTATTTGAATGTAACGCAACCTCATCTTAAGAATGTAATCTTCCATCCACATATTAACGAAATTATGGAATTGAAATGATAAGGCTACTTTTGTTGAGTATCAATATATATTTTACACATTAAAAAAGTCTACATATAAATTATGCCAATACATTGAAGTATGACGCTTAGCGCAAGGATGGTCATGGATTGTTCATAGGTCTAAGCAGATACGTTAAAATTTAAACGCTAAGAACTGCCTAAGTAATGATTAATATATATACTTGAATTCTTTTAAAGTATTCCACAATTAATCAGGAAATGTGGATGTACATGTTTGTGAAATTCCATCTCATAACTTACAACCATTTACGCAATATATATTTACGACGACAATAATGATTAACTATTGTCTAGAAATAATTCAATTTAATAAGGTACACCCTAGTCAGTAACAACAAAATGTAAGTCTTGTTTTTTTTTAAAAACAGGACTAGTTACTGTAATTGCTTTATATGCACTTCTATACTTATAGATATGAAGAAAAAATGAGAAATTAAAATACCTCAAAAGCCACATTCGTTAGGGTGTGAACCATACCAATAATGAGATATTACTGAAGTCCCAACAATAAATTAGGTAACATTAATTTAATTCAACAGACAAATAACGACTGCTAGTTAGTATGAGCAAGGCCTAAACAGAAGCCGTCCAACTTAGAATAAACTAAATGAAAAGCTTCATTTAGAGAGACAAGTTTTAAAAGAACTCCATTAAAAGTCTTAATTAAGCTATCTGGAACATCATCATTTAGTGAATAAACACGAAGGTAATAACCATATTTGAATCATAAATTGGATCGTAATCATACAAAATTACCAGTTCAACACTGCTATTTCAGCTACAACATATCATAGCTCAGTCAAGTAAATTTGGTACACTAGAATATTTACACTTTATCAGTCAGATAAATTATTCACAATTCCTGGATCTGTTCATTCATACAACAGATAACTGGAATCAAGAATTCTGGGTTTGGAAATTTTCGAAGTATGTCAACCTAGATTGCATAAAAAACACGAATGAATCAAAGTAATGTACATGGTTAAAACTGTAGTTGCAATTAACTGTGTTTAAATAAAAAAACTGCTCTATTATTAGATTTACTTAGTTTTCCTGATGAGTTTTATCATCGTTAATTATGTAAAGCCTCTTGAAAATGAGAATGATTCCCATTTATCAAATCCAGAAGGTAAAATGCATATAAGTAGTGCGAATAAAAACAAATCATATCCAATGGTTTGAATAGAATCTGTTATCATTCACCATAAAGCATAATTCAACTTATCTTCCAAAATATGACTTTACGTATGAATGAAAGGTAAACAAGATCACATGTTCTTCATTTTCAGTCGCTTAAAAACCTAGAAAACGTGTAAGTGATAATTTGGATTGTCATATCCTAACGGAAACTGAAGGGATAGAAACTTCTAGAACTAATCCATGGACTATTGTTATATATAATCCTATTGTATAATTGTTGTTTATACGATTTACCATTCTTATCTGTTGCTATTTTGTTATTTACTGCCTTCCCTATTCATAGCCACTTGGCTTGATTATGCATAATTGTTATTTTTTTACTTTATGGTATGATGTTCGGTATATTTATATAGAAACTACGTCTTGTTGAAATATAATATAGTGGAGTTTGGTTACCAACTTCTGAACTCAAGGGAATGGCAGAGAGAGGACTACAGAATGGTGAACCAGTAAGGATCTAACAAGTGACCCAAAGTTACTAGTACTGAACAGATGTAATTGATCAACTCAGACACTAAATTATATAAATCAGGATTCTCATTATTGGTTTTGTCATGTGATATTAGTCAGTGGTCATAAAACATAACATGGATCATTTTTAGAGATCCGAATTGGTATATGTGGAAAACTCCAAGTAAGGATGAAATAGGTTTTAACTGCACAACTGATGTCATTAACTATGGCAAATACTTCTAGAGCCAGAAGTAGTGTACTCTAAGTTATTACGAGTTAGAGCATATGAAGTAAAGACCGGTCTTCCCATCGGGAAAAAATTAGGAAGCTTACAGAAGTCACTAAATGAAACAAAACAACCACTTGGTGCAGTCTAATACGAATTAATAACTAGTTTATAAAACAAAATATCATCCAAATCTATTGAATAATGGACAGCAGTATTACGCGACGATCCAAACAGCAGCAATCCCATGGAGATTTTAAATTTTGCCTACTTGTTTGAAAATTGATCATTCAAACCAACCAGCCAAAACTCGAGTTATTAAAGTATTACAAACAAATGGTAACGAATATACTGAAGTTGACAAGATAAGTTGTACTAGCCAACAAAATCAATGGAGAAGAATCAATTATCTAGTAGAGTGAACTAATCACAGTCTAATCAAATCCAATATCAATCAGTTTATTAAGGTGTTTTGGTGGACTTATCTATCTGACTACATTACTCTACTACGAGACATCAAAGATATAATACTATTTGTTGACATTGTATTACAGTACTAAAAACATTACTAAACATCTCATTCCCAAAATACATCCTAACACATACACAAACATAGAATGTGCCATTAGGTTTAGTTAATAAACAACTGATAAGTAATCACATATTTTTTAAATTATTTTTAACCATTTTTCTCGGAACAAACAATAATGAATGAGGACACCCGTCATTGTATGTTTTTACAAATATAACACAAAAGCATACATATACAATCACGCAGTGTCTGAGCAGGGAAAATAAAATGGACCGATATGAAGACATATATACACAAATATGTCATTTTTTATCAGAAGGGGTTTTGTGGAGATTTTTTAGAAATTTCAATAGTTGGAATCCTGAGTCAATCGAAGCTAGACCATCATGGAAAACCTGGAAGCAATGGACGGCCGTTTCGTCTTAGTATGGGACTCCTCAGCAGCGCGCACCTACGATTCCGCCGCCCGTGAGACTCGAACCCAGGACCTATCAGTCGCGCGCGCGAGTGCTTAACCATTAGACCACTGAGCCGGCATCCAACGGTGTTAATGTCTAACTTCAACCAATCCACGAAGTTGCGCCACCATACACCATTGTCTTCAGTGAGTTGATATCTCACAACAGACCTGGTTGAACTCCACTGGTAACGTAATGTAATTTTTTGTTTGCACAGTTTGATTTAAGAGATGACATACGAACAATCAGTCAGTGAAGTGAACTAGTTTAAATATGAACGACTTAAAGGAGCACTTAATACTTGTTATTGTTCTACAAGTGTTATTAGAACTGATAATAATTATTGAACTCAATAAAAACATAAATTAACGGTTTGAGACTGGATTATGAAGACCTCAACATCTGAAGGAAAACACGGAATACAATGGACAGCTCAGAATCAATTAGACGATTTGGACTTCGCAGATGACCTATCCCTCCTATCACGTACACACGAACAGATGCAGATGAAGACAACCAGTGTAGCAGCAGTCTCTGCATCAGTAGGCCTCAGCATACACAAAGGGAAAACTAAGGTCCTCAAATTCAAAGCGGAGAACAGCAATCCGATCACACTTGATGGCGAAACTCTGGAAGATGTAGAATCCTTCACATACCTGGGAAGCATCATCGATGAACAAGGAGGATCCGATGCAGACGAAAAGGCGAGGATCGGCAAAGCAAGGGTCGCATTCCTATAATTGAAGAACATATAGAACTCAAAACAACTTTCAACCAATATCAAAGTGAGAATCTTCAATACGAACGTCAAGGCAGTTCTACTGTATGGAGCTGAAACTTGGAGAACTACAACAACCACAATCAAGAAAGTACCAGTATTTATAAATAGCTGTCTACGCAAGATACTCAACATCCATTGGCCGGATACCATCAGCAACAGCCTTCTGTGGGAGTGAACAAACCAACTTCCAGCTGAAGAAGAAATTAGGAAAAGACGATGGAAATGGATAGGACATACATTACGCAAATCGTCAAACTGCATCACGAGGCAAGCCCTAACTTGGAATCCTAAAGGGAAGCGAAAAAGAGGAAGGCCAAAGAACACATTGCGTCGGATAATAGAAGCAGATATGAAAACGATGAATTACAACTGGACGGAGCTAGAAAGGATTGCCCAGGACAGGGTTGGATGGAGAACGTTGGTGAGCGGCCTATGCTCCTTCACGAGGAGTAACAGGCGTAAGTAAGTAAGTAAGTCTTTCGCCACGTGAAAACTAATTACATCCAATAAAGTTCACTTCATATCGCTTCCTTACAAAATGTTACGTAAACATAGTTGATCTCTGGGGGGACAACTCAAAGTATTAGTTTCTATTCACTGATCGATTTTCTATTGTTTTAGAATTATTTCGTGAACCAAAAGCGATGTCTCTTCGAAATAGCCTTATTTGTTTATTCATAAAACAATTTAACTTTGTCATATACCAAAAGATGTCGATTACATAGATTCAGTTTTATTACACTTATATCACTATGCATTAGTACTTATATATGCTTCTAATATATTGCTAAACGACGTTATTCTGTTTGGGGGGATGATTTAGGGATCAGGGCACGTGAAATCCGGCTTTTGTGGTTGACGATTTAGTCAGTCAGCTACAACGTAGGATCAAGCACATATATGCATCAGTCCAAGTTGCCATATCTCATTAGCTCAACAAGATGGACACCGGATTCATAGAAGTGGTTGATTCAGTGGTGGTAATATGTAAAAGAAAGATTGCATATAAGTATATAGTACAGGAAGAAAGATTTAGTATGTAGAAAGAAAGATATGAAGCGATTTTAATCTCATAGTTTAAAGGAAGATAGAGAGTATATACACCTACGCCATTGTGATCGATTCTGAGCCATGTCAGCCACAGTCTCCAACCATTGGTTACGATAGTCACGCGGACCCCAACCAAGTAGTCTGTTTCTACCAACATGGCTCAGAACAGAAGTTAGTGGCTTCAAGCACTGATGCCACGTTTTGGTTTGGCCGCCCCTAACTTTCTTCCAACCATCCCCAACATCGGTTAGCATTGCGCGTCGTGGTAATCGGTGTTCAGGCATACGCAACACGTGGCCCACGCGTCTCAGTCGATAAATATTCACAACCTCATCAACCGATTTACCATCATTCCCTAATACCCAGTGTTTAACTTCACTATTACTTACCCGGTGATCCCAGCAGATGTGGGTAATATTTCTAAGGCATCTGTGACCAAACACTTGTAGCCTATGAGTATCTTCAAATCTTAATGGTCATATTTCGCAGCCGTAAACTAGAACAGAACGAACTGCCGCGCAGTATACTCCTCCTTGTATTGATAGACGGATATCTCGCCTTCGCCATACGTGATATAAGTTGGCAAAAGCCAAACGAGTTTTCTGAATCCGTGCACAGCTTTCGTCAAACACCAACCCATTAGGGTTGATCAGACTTTCAAGATAAGTGAAGTTAACAACGCGTTCGACTACTCCTTAGTTCAGGTGTTGACGGAGACCAGTCCTGAAGCAACAACTTGCATTTAGAGGGAGAAGCGCATTCCAAACATTCTGGCATTGTTGCTTAGTGCTAACAAAAGACTCTGCATTTTGTCAGCGTCTTCACCAAACAGGACTATATCATCTGCGTATTCTAAGTCGATAAGTGGACCTCCTGGTTGGAGATCAATACCCGAGAATTCAGTCGAAGAGAAAGTTATTTCCATCAGCAGATCTATGATGAAGTTAAACAGAAATGGAGAAAGTGGACAGCTTTGACAGACACTTAAAGTTGCAAAAGCAGATGACAGTTCGCCATAAGCTCTGACTCGACTAGTAGTGTTCGAGTGAAGAGTCTTCACAAGGTTTATGTAATTCTGAGGTACGCCATTCAATGACAGACACTGCCACAGCACCTCTCGCTTCACAGAGTCAAATGCCGCTTCTAAGTCAAGAAAGACCACCATTGTCGGACGCCGATAAGTATGCCTGTGTTCGAGAACCTGATGAATGGTGACTATTTGATCGATGCGACCACGACAAGATCTGAAGCCAGCCTGATTTTCTCGTGTTTGCAGTTCACGAGTCTTAGTTAGGCGTCCGATCATTATCGAGGCTTGTATTTCAGATGCTATATTAGTTAAACTAATCCCTCTATGGTTGTCACAGGATGATTTTGACCCTCTCTTATATATTGGGACGATAAGTAACTGTGACCAGTCAGATGGGATAACGTCCAACTCCCAGATTTTAGATAAAATATTAGTCAACCTAATCGCTAAAATTGGACCACCATCCTTAAAGACCTCTGGAGCTAATCCATCTGGACCAGCTGCCCTTCCTCGTTTCAGATTAACCATAGCCTCTTGAACTTCAGCTAGAGTTGGGGGACCTACTACAATGTTCCATTCACACTGTCTGGGAATGGAGGGTAGTTGTAGAATAGCTGAAGGCCAGCTGAACTGTTCTCTAAAATGTCCCGCCCACCGTTCTAAACGTCTGGACTGGGAGCAGATGAGGGTGTCGTCTTTTTCCGAAATAGTCTGACTTACACTTGACTTATTAATTCCAGTTTCTTTTATTAGTCTGTAGAGCTGTCTTGTGTTCCCTATAGCCGCCGCCTTTTCCATCTCTTTTGCTTTCGTTGCCCACCACTGCTCACGGTCGTTCCTTATACTTTTGCTTAATCTAGATCTGATTTGTTTCCGCTCTTCATCATGTTCAGAGTCTGATGGGATGAGTTTACGGGAACCCATCAGTGCAATAGACCTTGAAGAAATCCATTGGTTCTTCGTAACCATGTGGTTTAAATCACTAATAGATGTCACTGCTGTTTCCACAGCTGCTTGTATATCTTTCGAAGCAACACCTGCTCTCGTACTTATTGCTATGCACTAGAATCGTTGGCTATGGTGACACTTGAGGAGGAAGCCGAAAGAGGAAGTTTAGAGTTGAAAGTCGATGTAGGAGGAATAATAGGAATTCAAGAGGAAGGTTGATTATGAATACAGTAGTCCTGAGTGATGTTAGAGGTATGAGGGTGTTTATCACTTCCCCGTTGCCCACACCGTAGAAGGGTTCTTCTAGAGGTACCTGAAAAGGAAATTGGATTAGAGGTGGTCATATTGACCTGAAAGCGTGACTGCAGTGCCCAAGAGACAGCTGTTTGAGGTTGGTCACACACGATCTTTTTGTGGGTAATTTTCGTGTTAGCTCTGTACTTGTTGAGACCTTACCGCCGTAGACGGATATCCGTGGTATAAAGTGAGGTGTGACATTTTTAGGGTCGACCTTCCCTAACCCCACCCCTCCTTGTGAGAAGGCAGTATCGCTGTCATGCTGGTTGTCTGAAGGAAACACCTCACTGCTGTCACACCTCTTTATAGTCAGCAATACGACTTCGCCTTCGGTTTGTTGCTTTTAGTCTTACCACTCTTCAATTGACTTGTCTGGCATGGTAGGATCTTGAGGAACGGTTGTTCCAACCAGTATAGCATGGTTGGTTCGTCACAATAGGCAGACCCGACCACCACGTCAAGTTAGCATCAACGGTCGATTTACACTTTCATAACCCAGATTAGTTAGTTTTATATCTATCGTACCCTTAATCTGATGAAGACAATTAGGAGAGGATTTCATATAATGCAAGAAATGCGATACAGCCGCTAATTCGTACGTTAAACTCTCATAACCACAGAATTCAGTTGTCTAAGCGAGAAATGACCAAGTGATATCATACGATTATATGAAACTCTCACTAACTAATGTTATAACAACTAGGTTATATTGAATTTCTGACGGTATTTTAGTATTACGTACCATGTGATGAAGAAAATATAAAAAGGTCTCGAAAATAGTTTATTATAAACAACAATCCAACAAATGAGATCAGTCAGCAGGTTTTCCATGATACAGTTAGTATAGCTTATTTTCTTTTTTTAATAGATTTATGCATAGAATAAGCTCAACAATTCGAAACAAAATTTGTTAATTAGAGGCTTTTATAACAGACAATTAATTAGCGTAGGCAGTAGTAGCTACTATAAAGAACTTACTGTTCAATTTTCCTGCCTAACAAAAATTGGATACCAAGATAACCTCAAAGTTATTGACATTAAAATAATCTTGGCTTTACATAAAATATTAAGGCATCAAAAACAAGTCAGTATTATTAATATAGTGCAGTGGGATTAATTATGAGTTTAAGCAAAGGCACAGTGCTTATGATCGTAGGGTATAATTTGAAATTGTAAATAAGTAAAAAAACTAAAATTTTATTAGGTAAGAATACTGGAATACTTCATCTAATCAGACACATTGTACTAGCCACAGCCGCCTTTTTATGATTCATGGAACAGTGGGAACTCATTTGAAAACAAAAATGGAATTTGTACTGTGGTGTCTAGTACAACTATGCACTAACATGATTCATTCTAGCTCATAGACAAAGAACAACTCAGACAGCATGTGACTATTGAGTCATTATTACCATCATAATAACCTTACTATTTTCATAGGAAATCGTTTTATATTCATGTCCTGATTCTACGCTTATGAGCATTGTGTGTATGTCCGTCACTCATTATTTTGTCTAAAGCCTATCTCTTTGTCACATTACACATTATCTATTTTGAGCTATATTAACTCTTGTAATGAGTAGTATGGGCGAGTTGGCTCACTTGTCGTCTCCACTTCACTTTGGTTTGCCTGCACAGACGATTGCAGTGAAATAAACCAATTCAACAGAATTCGCATTTGGCTTTTTATTACCATCGTACAAACGGGGTTAGGCTACGTGAAGTATACAGAATTAAACGAAAGCATATTTGTTCGTTCGAATTGGAGTCAGATCAAAGAGCCACTAAAATACAAACTGGGTGTTAATAATCAGAGCATAATGTATTTGATCAAACACTATGGTGTGTGTGTGGTCAAGATTATTTGTGAAGGAAAAATGACGAGGTGGCTACCTACCTTTACATCTACGTACGAATTAGGAAGTAATACACGAGTTCTATATCCTGATGATAAATCCATCCATGATCGAGAACCATATATAAAGGTGACAGGAACATTAGGATCGAGTTGACTAATTCTGTCTAACATTGGGCGTTGAGGCCATCCAACTGAACTACATAATGACTTGAATCCTGTTTCACCGCTTAAATGAAAATTGTATTCTCAATAATAAAAGCAGAATTAGAATGAAATAGCATGATAAGAATAATAAACTGTTATAAAAAGTAGATATTACTTCTTAATCTATATTTATAAACCGCTTTTTTTTGTAAATACCATTCTTATGAGACGAAAATATGACTAGTACACGTTTAATGAAAGGAAAACGAATCAGCTGATAAGAATTCGTCTTGTCTTAGGTTGAAACAATTATTGACATATTCATCAAGACAAAAGATTTCTTGTAAGGAAATGAGCAGAAGAGTTGGCCTTGAGGTGACGATGCCGTCGTTTAGAACTCACCTGGACAAACTCTCTAGTGTCCGCAGGGTTGAATAATGGGAACAGAAAAATAATTCGATAAAACATTACGTGATTTTTCGAGTTCATGCACAACACAATGAACGTAAAATTAGGAAAAATAATAAAACAATCTACTAATATATCACCCATATAAATCCCCAGACAAAAAACTTACTTAAGTAATCACAGAATACGAAATAAGTCGCTTTTCGGTTCATTATTATTAACACCACAATTCGTAATATTAATTTTCCCCTAATCCAGAAAAGACCACATCTGACAGTACAAAAGTGGACAATGCATGCATGAAATTACCATTCAAAAATTGAATCAATATATACGAATTTGAGCAACGAACAACTAGAAGCATGAAACTACAACACAAATATATACTTGCAATTATCTATGGTAAAAATGTACAAGGGCGAATTATGAAACGTTTAGTTGTACAGACAAAACTTAGATGTGTGCATGTACAGGATCTGACCACTTCTGACGGTTCTATTTTATCATAAAAAATCTAATAACTTCTTGAAAACTAACTAGATTGCGGTGAGCCAAGATGTCGACTGATTTAACTTTACTTTCAGAGAAAAACCTGTAATAAGGTCAGCAGCAAGTACAACCCTAATGTGAATGAAACAAACTGTGAGGTTAATGGTGCTTAAGCTAGTAAAATTTAGACACCCATAGCTTTATGCAGTTTCACTGCACCACCGATTTCGGCAAAATTGTGACCTTTTCCCTGCCAGTGAACACAAATGCGCCTGAAGAAGTGGACCCCCCAGAAAATTCATCCTTTACAGAATCGCAAGTCACCAGGCCTAAACGAATTTTCTCTTATGATTTTTAATGCGACAGATCTTTTAGTCACGAATACGACAATGTTTTTTTGAAAAGATACGAAACAATGAGAGTTTTTCATCAAAATTTCGAGTAACTAAAATATCGAGCCTAGGAAGGGGTTCATATAATACATATAAAGGATATAAGTTTTTAATCAGAAGAGTTAAAATATATGGACTTCCATAACTCTATACAGATAACATAAGAAGCATGAAATCCACTACACAATGCAAAATCCCTCGACATCATCGTGCGATAGGGAGGGCAAAAGTCATTTTTTAGAGATATCATGCCTAATTTTAGTCAATTAAAGACGGACGTTTCCTAACATTTATTTGATAAGGAAGCGTACATTGACTGCGAGAGATGCTGTTGTACTGTGGTCATGAAGAAAACAATGTCTCGTGTATAAAGATGCACGAAAAGCAATTCTAGGATCTGAATCATATGGATTAAGGATAATCAAACCATCCTTCAAAACAAAGGAGAGGATCACAATTAATGCTATCCAGTACCATGCACCCACCAATGATAGCAATGAAGACGATAAATAGCAGTTTTATGAGAGGCTGCAGTAGATTGTAGAGGAATGTCTAGGAAAGGACCTGACCGTCCTGATAGGAGATTTAAACACCAAAATTGGAAAGGACAACACCGGGTATTAAGATGTCACGAGAAGACATGGATTGTGAGGAAGGAATCGAAATGGTGAGACATTTGCAAATCTATTTGCTTTCAACAAATCAGTATTTCAAACAGCGTGGTTCAATGGGAGGACTGCCCAAAACACCATATATATATGAGAAAATATGACATGCTCACACATTTGTGTAGCTTCTGCCGACTTTATGGCTAACGTGGAGAACTTAAAGACTGACTTCTTAACGATTAACGAAAACAAATGAATAAAACAGTTTGCTGACTTATTCCGCGATCACGTGGACACGATGACAGCTGTTCGACAACTACTATGTGTTTAAAAACTGAGAAGAATAACGAATCCCACTAGAACTTCTCCGGGGTTGTGTTGAATAACGGTGTCTCAGACTTAAGTTCTAGTTGGTGTCCTGTTGAAGCTCTAAATTTATGAGAAGTAGTATTGTCGAGCTAACTTGCACCGACATTTATATACTCACTAGAACTGTGTCAACTATGCGTCCCTAAAATGCCAGACATTATGTTAGCCACGATCCGAGTCACTGAAATAGCGATGCTGAGTTCAGGAAATATAACCATGGGATAACTTAACAGTATATTGCAGTTGATACTGCGTTTCCAAAGACACTTCCAGCCAAGATTAAAAAAGATTATTCTTCTCCTCATTCAACTGATCAAAACTCGTATTCTCCTGCGCTTTGTATCTGGCCAAAAAAGGAGAAAAAACAATTATAACCTCATTTCACACACATTTCCGGCTGGCATACGAGTGAGACGATAGCACTGAGTAAAAGTAAGTACTTAATAAACCAAGCAATTATAACGATATGATTCTTAACAACCATTCTCAAACCACAACCATGAAACGTTAAACATAGCTTAAGCCTCAATATTTGAATAGTACTCGACACCTTGAACTCACCTATTACTTCGTTATCCAATTCCTACTGAAATAAGGATACTGCTGAACCCGATTATGAATGAGAAACAAGGGTTGACAATAAAATTAGCACCCACATCCTGTACACAAAAAACCTACTAAAGGGACGCCAAACAGAACAAAAGCAATTCAAATATAGCTATGGAGGCGCTAAAGTTTGTAAGTCTGAAGACTGCAAAGATGTCCACACTATTTTCTGAAAGATCTGGGAGAAGGGACAAATACCAGCGGACTGGGAAGAGGGATACCTCATCAATATACCAAAAAGAAGAGATCTGAGCAATTGTGAGAACTACAGATGGATCACACTACTGTCAGTACCAGGAAAAGTTTTCAACAGAGTGTTGTTGAACCGAATGAAAGATTCAGTAGATGTCCAACTTCAAGATCAACAGGCTGGATTTTGTAAGGATCAATCGTGTACTGACGAGATGGCCACACTACGGATCATTGTTGAGCAATCAATTGAATAAAACTCACCACTATATATCAACTTCTTTGGCTATGAAAAAGCATTTGACAGTGTTGATGGGAAAGCCTCATGGAACGTTTCCCGATACTATGGTGTACCTGAGAAGATTGTCACCATCATACAGACTTCTTGTGAAGAACTATGCTGCAAATTCATGCATGGAGGGAAGCTCACAGATGCATTACAAGTGAAGATCAATGTTAGAAAAGGCTGCTTACTCTTTCCTTTTCTATTTCCTCTAGTGGTTGATTAGACCATTAAGACCTCTAAAGCTCAGAGAAATTACGCAAAACAGTGGATAGTTTTCATGCAACTAGACGATTTGGACTTCGCAGATTACCTAGTTCATATATCCTATACACACAGACAAGTGCGGGCGAAGACAGTCAATTTAGAAAGTCTCTCCAGCATTAGGCCTCAACATACACAAAGGAAAAAGCAAGTTCCTAGAATACGACACAGCGAGCAGCGACCTAACCACATTTGGTGGAGAAGCTATGGAAGAGGTGGAAACTTTTACCTACCTGAACAGTAGCATTGATAAACAAGGAAGATCTGCTGCAGATGTGAAGGCAAGGATTGGCAAAGCCAAGGGCAGCATTCCTGCAACTGAAGAACATCTAGGACTCAAAAACAACTGTCAGCTAACATCAAAGTCAGAATTTTTAATATGAACGCCAAGACAGTTCTACTACACGGAGCTGTGACATGGGGAACTACCAAAACCATCATCAAAAAGGTACAGGTATTTATAAACAGCTGTCTACGTAAGATACTCTAGATCCGTTGGCCAGATACCATCAGCAGCAACCTACTGCGCCGGAGAACAAACTAGATTCCGACCAAAGAAAAAATTAGGAAAAGATGTTGGAAGTGGATAGGCCATAACATTGTGGAAAGTATTAAACTGCATCACATAGTACGTCCTAATTTGAAATCCTCACGGCAAGAGGAAAAGAGGCAGACCATAAGACACATTACGCCGGGAATGGGAGGCAGACATTGACATAATGGACAGCAATTGTCAAAAACTGGAAAGGAGAGCCCAGGACAGTGTTGGATGGAGAGTCCTGATTGACAGCTCATGCTCAAACAGGGTTAATATATGTGAATGGCATCCAATTGTCACATCGCACAGGCATAGTGAGATAAGATTAGTAGTAAGAATGCCAGAGTAAGAAAAATTAGTAACATCATCAGTAGCAGTGTTTCATATTTTTGTAAAACAACATGATATTCACATCTTGACTGTAATCGTACATGAATTGTGCGTTCTTAAGTTCCTGATTCGTACATTTACGACATTGTGATTTCGTTTTTTGCAACGAATTTCTTGATACTTTATTGTCGCAAGTATTTCATGGTCTATGAACAGCGTAATAAACAAAGCTTAATAAATTCTTATACGGTTGATTAGCATGAGGCATTTAAACGATTTAAAATTTAGCATGAGCGATTACCACTATATGTATACACAAATCTAGAATAAAAACTGCTTTCAGTGAGATTTTTCAATGCAGAAGTAGTAAATCCTGGTATGTTGCCAGTAATTCTTTTTAAATGGCTAATTTAAAAGCGTTTACTTGACAGAAGGTATACTGGGTCAGACTTTTTAAATGTGACTTGCAAACAATCCGCAAATGTTTTGATAATAATCACGCCGGGTATCATAGTTAAGTTGTTCTATTTGTGCCTAATAACATTCCGTTGTAATATGTGACTTTTTTTGTTTCTATTTAAACGTGACACAACATGTGATGTGATAAACTTAATTTCATGTCAAAAACTGTACCAAGATTATATATATATATACAGATGGTTACTATGAGATTTATGGAGTACAGTGGTATCGCTTGTTTTGAAAAAAATTGAGCAACTGAAAAATTAACGTTATGTTAAATTATAAACTAGGTTGTATAAATCAATGAATTTTGATGTCAAACATTTTGATATGCTATTATGGTTTATCCTTTGACAAATGAAAATTAATTCCATATAGCGCTAGAATTCAAAGAATTATAAAGAAAGGTTTTATGAAAAACAGAAGTTATGTTGAGTTTATAAATGATCATATACTGTTATACGAGGTTTTCTAAGTTATGCAGTTTGGTAATTAAAAGTTGAATCACTGACAATTTTAAAGACTTTTCCCACACAGATAACAATAATTCATAGAGCACAATGTGATCGTAGTAATATCGAAAGACAATAAATCGAATGGAAAATCCAGAAAGCAATGTTATGCAAGTGTTTTTGCAGAAATAATAAATAGTCAATTTACTGATAATTATACATAAAAATTATAACTAAAAGGTTACTTATAACAAGAACGAATGAAAAGCAGAATCAGTGTTTGTGGTAACAGCATATGGATCTTCATCTAAACATTGACCATGAAGACAGTATGCTAAGCTACTTATAAAATCAACAAAACAGGATCATAAAATTTCGCTACATACAGTGAACTGTTTATATAGTTAGCATACATCTACAGGCGAAATTCAAATGTCATTGCTCAGATGTTAGTTAAAATAACGATAGCTTACAGCTAGATCACATTTCACAATAATTACTTTCATGCTATAACATGGTGCCTATTTTCATTCCTTGATGTAACTGGTGGTTAGTGTATCAAAAGTTTTAAAATTCGCTCGATTACATCCTAAACTCTTAATAGTTGTTCATTTATAGAAAATAGGGTCACGACTCGTGACTTCCTACATATTCATCATATGCCTAATCACGGAACGATATCGTTTGGATAAGAATTTCCACCCTTCTATTCACTGATAATCACCTCTAAAACAAACAAGATATAGATTTTCATTCATCCAACTAGAATGATGTGCATCACTTTTAAGAGCGTATTGCTCACATGCACTGGAAGACTTATGCGTATACAGAGTCAAGACATTTGCGGACAGCAAATTGATTCGAGAAGAGAATACCAACGTGCAGATACTCAATATATATATATATATATGACTAAGAGAATCAGCCGTCATAAGTCGAAGAAACTATTCACCACAAAAATGTGCGAAAGCCTACAATACAACAGTTACAAAATTAATTACTCTTGCTAAATAAACCAAAAATCTAATTAAATAAAGAACCTCTAGTTACTTTAACACGAAAATAGGGGGGAAATCACTCTCATTTGACGGGATAAGTTGGTTTTTATTGTCTATATACGACCACTGATCCTGACATAATTAAACATTTAGGAAAAGCCTCTGAAAAAGCCTCACAAAAGTTAAAAATAGTTACAATCCCTTAGACAATTTACTTTTCTTTCTACTCCTGAATAACACGAACTTATTTATGCGAAATAACAGTAATCAGATGGTGAACAGTTTAGTCCAGCTAAAAAAACCAATAGATGTAATTAAGACAATGGTACCTTGGATGCTGACAGTTAATATGATAGACGTAATCCAAAGCTACAGACCCATCCAAATCGTTTAAATCAATAGAATCCATTGTATTGGAATTTGATTTGTCATAGACGGTTTCCCCAGTCTTCATCGTTCTGTGGATCGGTGATGGAGGCTTGAAAACATCATCCTCACCATTAGTTGACTGAATGTGATTATCGTAAGAAAAATTCTGGGTCGATTCAAGTTGTTCTGCTCGAGGTATTTCTGTCATCTTAGGAATTAAAAAATGTTGGATATTAGAATTGTAATCTAAAATTACACATTATCGTTTACTTACTAGACATTTACAACAAGAAAAGTGTCTAACATTGATGCATGAATTTCATGCAAGTTATAAAAAAATCCACTCAGATTACGGAGAGCGCCTGAAGACGAAATCGTCGAACCGAGTAACATATTACCAATTCGCCAGTATAAACTGCTAAGGAGAACTCAGATTACTTACATGTTATCTTTTTTTCTTAAAGAATAATCTCGATGACATTTTTCTAAATTATATTTCAGTAGTGATCTACACTGTTATCAGATTAGTTGTTTTTAATTACAGTCTGATAGTTGTCTTATGCATCCCAACGTCAATGAGTGTTACTTTGTAAATGGAGTTGTTGAATTTTTGATTTTTGGTTCGAAAGATAACGTTGTCCTAAAACGTCCCTTCTCTATTAGGTGCGTGGATCATTACCGTTGAAGCGTTTTTCTTAGACGTCCAGTCTGTCAAGTTCTCATTAGTCTTGTTAGCATTAAAAGATTCTCAAATTACCGTAGGCCCAACCTAAAACCAATCACAATTACATTATAAAACTTAAAATAAACAAACAACCAACCGACAATTGATAAACACTGATAAAAACAAGTTCAAAATCTGCTTCCAGGTTTTAAAGTTCTTTTATTAACGAAGTATATATATATATATATATATATATATATATATATATATATATATAACTATCCTATCAGGCTTTTTAAACTTCGTAGATGATTGACAGGTTCACTATTATTTTTTTTAAATACTAAAACAACTCTGCCTGAGGTTTTTCTAGGGTCAGTAATCTCATTCCGTGAAAAAGAACTTTGCTAAGAAACGACAGCCAGAAAAATTCATTTTAATCGTTTTAAATCTGCTCAAGGAGTACAAGGGGCAACATTTAGAAGAGTTATAATGCCTTATGATAAAAGCCGAGATTCTTCAGAAGTCACGAGGCCGATTGTTTTTCTAAAAATCAGAGCAACAATTAACATAGGTACATTGGATGTCGCCACAATGTAGGAGACTGAGAGGACCAGTCAAGTTGTTGAGGAAATGAGATAGAACCTGGAGGAGCTTGGAACAAGCAAAAACCGTTAGAAGCAAGCTGGATAGAAAAGATAAGCTTCGAGCGAGGTTCTGTTGTACTCTGATCATGAAGAAAATGTCTCGTGTATATAGGTAGTTGCACTGATGTTCTTCAAAGAAACATGAAAAGCACTTATAGTATCGGAATCTCATGGATTCAGGATCATCAAGGCATCTTTCAAAACAGCTTTTATGTCCGAATGTATTCCTGATCTTTTTTTTCGCTTTCTTCCAGCATCACGTTTGCATTGCTTAGCCATGGCGTCACTTCTTACGGCTGAAACAAGTACGCTTTTTTCAAGTTCATACCTTCCTTGTACCGAGCACCGTTCATCAGGTACTTTGTGATAGTCGTAAACTTGCCAGACAGTTACGTTGCATAAGCAGCACCACAAATTTAGCACAGAAATGTGAAGTTTCGGTTAGGTGTATGTTCTCCAACGTCATAATTTCTACAAGGCGCCATTTTTGTACGGATTGTAACGACTGCGAAATCACAATACTGCACTAACATGCAAGCATATTTATTCAGTAGTTAATATATCGGCATGAATATTCTGTTATACGATTCCGCTGATTTTATCTAATTTAAAGGCCTACCTGGGTAGCTTCTCATCTGTTAGCCCATGTTGCAAATTATTGATCGTGCTTATATAAATGGTGTGAACCTGCTATGTCAAAAGTCAGCCTATCCCTGAATTCATTACTACAGTTGACCATGATCCTGTCGGGCACTTAGGCACATGCAGGTCAGTACGGTACAGTAATAATGAAATCCAGTTTAGAGTAAATCGGAAAATTGAAAATAGAGGTCATTTTAAAACTTCCAGTTCACAGAACTAACGAGCGAATCTACCTACATTACCATATTTCGGAACAGTGAACATCAACTCTGGGATAAAGGTACATCCAGCTGACGAGCGTCCTGGATCCCGCTGCTGGCCATCATACATCTTTGCTTATAATGCTTGTGACCCAGGGCAACATCAAGGCAATCCGCACAGGATGCATATATGCCAATAAAAAAAGATCAATTGCAGTCCTAAATATCAATGGGATGATTCAAACGAACAACACAGTGATAGCTATCGTTTCCAACTACAGAGTACGGTTATCTTTTACACCCCGATTAAAATGTACGGCATATGAAGACAGTATTTGACTTCAAAAACTGTTGGAATCTCTTGATATCCTCACCTCTGTTCTCATTCTAATCTGTTCATCTAGAATTGACCACTTCATATCGATGTTAACAGTGATTGGAAGTGCTTAAAACCGATGGGAATCACTCCAGTCAATGGAAATTAACGGCCTTATTGATCGACTTACTAACCCCACTTAACGTTTTACGCCTGACAGTCATACCCGTTTGTAAACAAGCAGTCTTAATGAGAAAACCGAATTAGGCTGAACTGCTTGTGAAACAACACTGCTGAAGTCCCATAAACACTTAACAATTAACTACGAATAGTTTCACCTGATATAGTAAATATGTCCATAATTTTCTCTAGATTGAATGAACTCATGTTAAAGACAACTTGAAATATATTAAATCTTAATATACAATAAACTGCACAAGATACAGAAGTAGTGACTTAGTACTTAAGCTATTCCACTTTCGGCCACCAAGTTCCAAGTTCGAACTCCGCTCCATTTCCTTCTGTCCGGACAGCCGGGTAATATCATGAGACCTCACACTCTGTATGGCTCATACTCAAGTACCTGGTGAATGAGTTTGTTCAATTTATTTAAGTATTATCAGACAAAAATTACTAACCCATTATTAGCAAGTATGTGAAACATATGATTATAATTCTATAAATTACGGGGTATAGCTGGACCACTATGTCTTCACAATAAGCTAATAAACGTACTTTCTCTTCGAAACACTTTTATACTTATCGTATAGTTCGCTATTCCAACAGACAACAACAACTATTTAGATAACAAAATTTATCGAAAACATATCTCACCTCTTCCACGCGAATGGGTCTTTGATCGAAAAACCCTCTTAGATCCTGACGGAAATAGTGGATAAGGCTAGGCCCGAAAGGCCCGGCAGCACGAAGAAAGGATAAAGGATTAAAGGGACGGAATATTTGACGGAAAGTCGAAAATATCCATGCTTGAGCTGCACCTACATTCGACTGATCTTTAACTTTTAAAGGATCCTCGACAAAACCCCAAGGATCTGCTAGGATCAAATGAACAATCCTAATTAAAAAGAATAAAAAGCATTGACAATTTTTAGTAAGCAAAACCATTATTTTAATGCTATTCATACAACACTCAAGTATTTTATAAACACAATAAAGTATTTCACGACGTATAAATTCCAAGCTGATACAATATCGAACCTAGAACAATAGTGCACTAGCCCAAGTCTCTATATTTCAAAACAGACATAAAAAAGACAACAGAAACAAGACTAAGTAAAAAAATAAGAGGGTCCGAAGCAAAGAACGTCAGTCGAGCTGGCCTACTGGTGGTTTAAAGAAGCATTATTACAATTTTACTTAACTCAGATTGGAAATAAATTCTTTCATGAAATGAATCAATTCCAAAGCATAGTAACTCAGTGAACTTCTCCAATATTTTTATTCATTAATAATATTTATGTTCGAGATGGACGAATAGGAATATACTATAAACATTCTGCATCACAATCTTCTTGAATAATTTAAATATTCCATCCGCAGAATTATGTTCATTCAGTGCTTTTAACTGTTTGGATAGATAACGTTATGAAAGTATTCCCTAGATTTAATAACCACGTCTTACAAACACTTAGTAGTCAATCATAACCATTGTATAGTCTAGCATATAGTTGCACAGCAAAATGAAGTTAACAAGCATAATACCAAATGAGTTCATATTATAGCAGTATTAATGATAATGAGAATGACTAAACATTAGGAATATGGTTCTAAAGAGTATAAAGACAGGATATGAATCAGTCACAACGTAGAACCTGATACGTATGTACATCGTTTCAAGTCTCCATAAACCATTAGCGCAAAGATGAAATTTTCGGGCCAAATCTCAGAAAAGTAGAGGTAGTAACAGTACCAGTGGTAATAGGAAGGGTTTGGGACTGGAGATACGACTCGACAAAATAGAAATTAGTGAAATAAAGAAGAGGAAATTTAGAATCTCAGAATTTTGGGGAAAACAAAGAGTGGATGTATTTGCGTCACCGCAAACGGTCGTGAGCTATGTCATTCAAAGTGTCTAACCACTGATCACGATAATCAAGCGGAAGGGAAACTTAAATTCAAGATTTAGAGGAAGATAAACAGTAAGTGCATTTGGGCTAGTGTGACTGGTCCTCAACTGTTACTCGACATCTACAATTGATGATTGCGGCTATCTCGTAGAACTCGATCAGGTAGTCTGAACTTACCAACAGTTAATTATTTCATGAATTGATGCCAAGTCTTGGTTTAGACATCCCTATGTTTATTACAACCAACTCCCATGTTAACCAGCGTTGCGCGTCAGGGTATGAGGTGGTTGGGTAAATATAACACGTTTCAACCATCCCGATCGGTAGATTTAGTCTGACTGCTTGATTTCCCATAATCACCTAGTACAACATATCTCACTTGATTGTTCCTCCATACGCGAGGAAGATACTTATGATCAAACACTTATATCCTATATAAGGCTTCTACATTTATAAACCGTGTTTCTCACGGTTAAGGTGTACGTGTATTTTCGGACTTACAAATTGCAAATCATAACTCCACCTGTAGCTCTTCTAGAGCTAATGCCAGTCCAAAGCCCACAACAAGGAGAAGGGTTGTACGTGGGGTCTGCAACCACATCCCGTAGAAAACAATCTTGCTAAAAAACGCCGATCAGATTAAACAAGTTGAACCATTAAAGCTCTGCCCTCCGAGTTGAAGGGAGAATTATAATGCCTCAGGATGAAAGCCAAGATTCTTCGGAGGTCACGAAGCCGATGTCCCTTCTAACAAACAGGGCAACAATTTTTATAGGTATACGGAACGTCCGGACAATGTGGGGGACCGGGCGGACCAACCAAATAGCTGTGGAAATGAGGAGGCACAACTTGGCGATGCCCAGAATAAGTGAAGCACATTTGATCCAAGCTGAACAGATAAGCCTAGATACGGGAGAGATGCTGCTGCACTCCGGTCACGAAGAGATAATAGCTCCACACACTCAAGGAGTTGCTCTGATGTTGTACAAAGAAGCAAGAAATCCACCTGTACGATGGGAATCTCATGAGTCCAGGATCACCAGAGCATCCTTCAAAAAAGGAATGGGATCACTATGAGTGAAATCCAGTGTTGTGCACACACCAAAGAAAACAACGACAACAATAAGGATCAGTTCTATGAGAGGCTACAATCAATCATAGCTAAGTGCCCAGGAAAAGACCTGACCATCCTAATGGGAAACCTAAACGTCAAAATCGGAATGGACAACACTGGATATAAAGATATCACGGGATGACATGGACTGTGGGAAAGCAACAAAAATGGTGAGACATTTGCAAATTTATGTGAATTTCAAAATCGTTATAGGCGGCACAATATTACGAAACAAACACATACACACAGCTACATGATCCACACCGGATCACGCCACGGAGAACCAGATCGATCATATTTGCTTCACTCAAAAATTCAGAGGGACAATGGAACACGTGGGAACCAGGAGAGGAGCTGACGCAGCTTCAGATCACCACCTAGTTGTGGCCAAGATGAAACCGAAACTAAAGAAACCCTGGACAGCTGGAGAAACAGCAGTACAGAAGTTCAATACAACCTTCCTTTGACATACTGACAAACTCAACAAATTCAAGATCATTCTCAACAATTGGTTCCAAGCCCTACAAGATCTACTCAAATAATGAGAAGAAACTACTGTGGAGAACAGCTGCGAAGGGATCAAAGAAGCATTGACTTCAACGTGTCAGGAGGTTCTGAGCCGAAAGAAGCATCATCATAAGTAATGGATCTTTATGGAAACCCTAGACAAGATTCAGGTAAGGAAGAACAAAAAGACTGCAATAAACAACAGCCGAATAAGAGCAGAGAAAGTCAAGGCACAAGCTGAATGCACAAGAGCAAACAAGCAAGTGAAGAGGAGCATTAAGGCCGACAAGCGTAAATATGTGGGAGACCTAACAACGACAGCGGAAAAAGCTGCAAGAGAAGGGAATATGACACGGCCATATGACACAACGAAGAAACTAGCAGGGAAATTTAGTAAACCAGAGAGATCAGTCAAGGACAAAGAAGAAAAACAAATCACCGAGATTCAAGAACAGACGGGTGGAATACTTCGAGGAACTATTGAATAGACCAGCTCCACTGAACCCTCCGGACATGGAAGCAGCATACACAGACATTCCCATAGATGTCACTCCACCAATGACGGAAGAAATCAGCATGGCCATCAGACAAATCAAAGAGTGAGAAAACAGCAGGACCTAACAACATACCGACTGAGGCAATGAATTCAGACATGCAAGTAACTGCAAGCATGCTCCACGTTCTATTTAGAAAGATTTGGGAGGACGAACATGTACCGATAGACTGGAGGGAAGGACACCTCATCATAATACCAAAGAAAAGAGATCTGAGCAAATGTTAAAACTATAGAGGTATCACACTACTATCTGTACCAGGAAAAGTTTTTAACAGAGTATTGCTCAGCCGGGTGAAAGATTCAGTAGACGACCAGTGTGGGGATCAACAGGTCGGATTCCGTAAGGATCGACCGTGAACAGACCAAATCGCGACACCATGGATCATCGTTGAACAGTCATTGGCTATGAGAAACAATTTGACAGCGTGGATAGGAGGACTTTGTGGAAACTTCTTCGACACTATGGTGTACCTGAGAAGATCGTCAACATCATCCAAAATTCATACGACAGACCACAGTGCAAAGTTGTGCATGGTGGACAGCTGAAAGACGCATTCCAATAGAGGACCTGTGTCAGACAAGGCTGCTTACTCTCTCTTCCTCTTTCTTCTGGTGGTCGATTGGATTATGAAGACCTCGACATCTGAGGGAAAGCATGCAATACAATGGACAGCTCAGAATCACCTAGAAGATCTGGACTTAGTAGATGACCTGGCCCTTCTATCCCATACACACCAACAAATTCAGATAAAGACAACTAGTGTAACAGCAGCCTCTGCATCAGTAGGCCTCAGCATACACAAGGGAAAAAGCAAGATCATCAAATACAGCACGGAAAACACCAACACAATCACACTTGATGGAAAAGATCTAGAAGATGTGGGATCTTTCACGTCGCCCTCAAATGCACTGGTACGGCCGAAAGTGGGGAGAGTTCACTCTCCCTCTCGAAATACACTCACATGGTGACGGGTACGCCAACATTATAAGGGAATTCCTACTCACTGCCTTCTCGCGGCGGGGGTGTAGTTTACGACTGAGAGGACAAAAAGAGAACATCCGGCGTTTCAACCGGATTGGTTGGTACGGAAGATCCACTCGGTAGAGATGAAAACCCTGATTCTAAACCAATGGTGCACATGGGCCCCAGGATCCTGAGGGAACAAATTGCAAATGAACCAAACGTTGGACACCAGCTGCCATGTGACTGTATCTCCTGACGTTGCTCCACTGCCTTGTGGTCAGAGACTCCGCGTGTGGCCTCCTAAGAAAACCACCTGTTTCGATCTGGCCACTCGGGCAGTATCACAGCCCACACACAAATAAAATGAAATGACGATAATTACTGAAAATACTACTCTCGCCTCAATTAAAATTCAGACAGTTCACATTCATTTTTATTTTTTATATACTACGACACTTATCAACTCTCTTTTATTCCCACTTTATGTATCGCGATTTTTCAACTCATACAAAAGCTTGCCTATGGTGGAAACTCTGTTCTATCTAAACGATCTCGAGTCACTGACTGGTCGAAAGTTGAATCCTACCATCGACTACAAATACTGACCCAATGTTTTTTAAATCGAATAAATACCATTCAAAATGGTCTTTTTCAACGTTTGCACACTAATGCGAATCGGACAACAGATAGGGTTGACTGTGTCTTTAGAAAGTCTTAACGTTTATGTCTGTTGTCTATCCAGGACTTTTATTCAACACCAGTGAAGTACTACAAATTAGCTCTCCATTTATCGCTTCGAAAAGCCTGTTTTACGTGCGTTTATCCGGGGACCCTGTGGCATCTTTGTCTGGTTATGCGGACGTTGGTGTCGCACTAAGCACTAGAGCTGAGGCAGAACTAATACATTGGATCCCCATTAATAGTCGGTTATGTGTTGTTAGATTAGAAAGCTCCATCAAAGTAAGAAGAATTCGGTGTAAGAAAAGATGTTTTTCCTTAGTCTCTGCCTATCCCACGACAGATTACAACCGGAATGCAATCAAGGGTGAACTTTAACACCAGTTAAATGATCTCCGGAAAGCTCCTTCAACAAATATTGTAGTCATCGCCGATGTGCCACATGGCGCCCTCACTCTACATCTCAAGCCTGGACTCTGATCACATCACGATCACCTACCTTTGGTGTGGCTCTGGCCAACAAATCAATTGTCCTAAACGAATCGATGTCAGCAAATTGGTTACAACTTTTGTTGCAACTAAATATCAAACCGAGCTAGGTTCAAGGCTAGCTAACATCCCACCGGAAAGTATAAATGAGCATTAGTTGCAATTGCACGACACCATGAAAATTGAGAGTAAAGTCACTTGCAGCTTCGTGAAACGTCCAGTTCATAAGCATAAGGTTTCTACAGGGTCCTTACAACCCATTGAAGCACATCAGTCTACTCTGGGTGACCTCGAGCTTGGCCACAAACGAAGATTGTCACGCAATGAAGATGTGCATAGCTTGCATAAGAACCGAGAAACCTGGTGGTCGGAGCGTGCCAATGGGTTGGAAGCAGCAGCTGCATCTGGTAACTACCGGAAGGTCTTTCAACTCATCCAAGTCACTGCCAGCAAGACGTCTGGTGTGAGTTAAACAATCTGTAAAGATGACAGAGTGTCAATCACCAACATCTACTGACATCTTGGACGATGGGCAGATTTTTTTAGAGGCAGCTCAACTGATCTGGTGACGACCGTCTGGTTAAGTAACTGACTGGGTTTTTTAAAAATTTCTAGTAGTTACAAGGTGTTCCAATATCGTGGAATTAGTCGATAGTCGTCTTTGTCTTTAATAGGAGTTCACGTAATCTATGCAACAACTATTGGGGGATAAGTCTACTTCCGGTTGTGTCCAAACTATTGGCTTCCGTCATACTTCGCAGATTGTTTAAAACAGAAAAGATCGACTCGCAAAGAGCAGGTTGGTTTTCGTTCTTATCGAGGCTGTTTTGATCATCTTTTCACCCACCATCAAATATCAGAGCACCGTCATACTTATTACAAGCCAACAGTCCTAGTGTCTCTTGACATCAAGGCCACCATCAATTTGTTAGACAGGACTGTTCTACGGGATTGTCTGTTGAAGAAGGGTGTGCCTGAGAAGTTTATTAACATCTTAAAAGCCTCATATACAAAAACCTCAGGAAGAGTGAAGGCATACGACCACCTGAGTAGCTGCACAAGTGCTGGTGGTGGCGTGAGAGATGAGATCGATTCACGTATAATGAAAGCCAGGGCAGCTTAAACCAATCTGGACCATCTTTGACGCCTTCGTGATGTCAGTCTGGCTGTAAAAGTTCGGATCTACAACGCGTCGGTGAGATCAGTTTTGCTCTATGCTTGTGAAACCTGGCCTACTCGAGTTGAGGATGTTAGAAGACTCTCTGTGTTCGATCATCACTGTCTCCCAAGGATTGCTGCCATCCAATGGCAACATCATGTTAGTAATGCAGAGGTTCAGCATCGTGTGTTCAGTCACAGAGACGATCATTCAATTGGTGTCACTATCTTGAGACATCGACTTCGGTAGCTTGGACATGTTCTACGAATATTGTCCCGGAAGATCCCTCGTCGTGCATTATTTGTCGACTCTGGGACTGGTGGCAAAAAGCGGAGGTGGTCGGTAGACGACATGGAGTAGTAGTATGAAAGAGAGTTGTGCAGGACTGACTTCTGTTGGTCATTCATGACTCTCTGGTTAGGATCTCAGAGATGGTGTAACACAGTGACTAGAAATGTTATCAGAAATGGCTCAGAATAGAAGCCAGTAGCGATCCTGCTGTGACTCTTATTTTCTTCATAAAAAAATGGTAGAATTCTTTGTGGTTATAATTTTGCTAACTGAACTGCCCATTCCATTATTATTATTTAACTGTCATATTCTAATTGCTGTCCGTTATTGAACTCGAATTATTAACTCTGGTGCCGTGTGGCAAATATCTAGTAATAAGAGATAAATTAATGCCTTTTGGATAAATCTTTTGCGAAACCGAAGTGGGTAAGCAAAATAATATATAGTCTAGGGATCAACTAGAAATCCGTATGAACTCATTTGAAAGTGGGTTAAGTTACATTAACTCATTGGTTATTATGAAGCTGACTACTGAGACGAAAGTTATGATGTTGCAAGTTTGATAGCAGAAGCGGCAAATAATTTAAATAGCCTTTGTGTACCCACTCTTAGACAATCCCAAATAATTTGCTTTGATTTACTAACACTTGACATAAATTGTTATGATTTTAAAGAAAACTGCAACCTCTTAAGATTATGAGGAGACTGGGGACTTCAACCGATAGTTCAGTATACTGGTTTTTTCTCACGATAATTATATTCTTCGAGGGGTTGGAGTTCTAGTTAAATAAGGCTACGATGCAATGATTCACTATATAAATTTAGTTTCCATGCGACGATCAAATTAGGTCCTGTGAGTTCGATTCTCCAGTCTATGGAAATCAGTAGACTACAAATACAAGGACCAAAATGGTCAAATGTACTTTAATAAACGAAAGTGGGAGCTGAAAGCTCTCCATATTTAACAATTGAGCCAAAACCATTTGGGAAAACAACCAAGAAAGATCGTCGAGTCCGTGTACAGAAACGTTCTCGTGAAAGATAGATGTATAACTGGCCGTTTAAAATTTGGAAATCCTAGATGTCTCATGCTTGTGACGAACTGATTGACATTCGAGTCCTAAAATACGGTAACAGCTGTACATAATCAAATGTGCAAGTCATACATGATGGCTGGATCTTTGAAAAACGGGACCCCGACAACCTAGGATACAACAATAAACAAAGTTTTGTTAAACACATGGTGTGCCCCTGGTACGGCCAGAATGTGCGGAGAGTCCACTCCTTCTTGAAATGCTCTCATATGGCCACGAGTATAAAGCCTCTGCCAGGGAAGTCCTACTCACCGCCTTCTCGTGACGGGGGTGTTGTTTACGGAACTGAGAGGACGAAAAGCGAATATTTAATGCTTTAGTCGGGTTGGTGGATATAGAGGATCCACCTAAGGGAGTTGGAAAACCCTGATTCTAAACAAAAGGTGCACATGGGCTCCAGTATCATAAGGGAACAAATGGAGTATGAACTAATCGTGTCACCGGCTACCATGAGACTGCATCTCCTCACAATGCTCCACTGCCTTGGGGATTAGACCTTTATGTCGGAGGCTCCGGGTGTGGTCCCCTAAGAAAACCACCTGCTTCGGTTCGGGCACCCGGGCAGTATAACAGCCCTCGCACAAATCAAATGAAATTTGTGTGGCGCATATGTATCTGATGCCCTCTTGTACCAGTATTTATGTTTAAATAAATAATAAAACACATGGTGTTATGATTCATTGCACTACAATGACTTACTCGAAAAGTACGAGCTCACGTGTTTTTAAGGAAAATACAGTAAACTCATTTCTGCAATCGCATACTTATTCGGAGTTCTGCTCACCGCTTATAATTGGAATCACACAAACAAACTGGAATGACTGAGTTTGTACGTTACGATTCAAATTACTTATTACACAAATGCAACGAATAGATATTCGTAGCAGGGAAAAAGCTGGGACTATCACCTACATTTTTATTTACCGTTGCACCATTTGCAATGTTCCCATAGTATAATGAGATCCTGGAAATTTGAGACACTCTTGGTATTAAAGTAACAAAAAACAAGGTACCACATGGCCTATTATTGATTTAAATAAAGGGGAAAATCGAAAACTGAGTAAAAGTTTGGTAAAATGACTTATGGTCACAGCTTACCTGTTGGAGTGAGTAAGTGCATAAGAACAAGCTAGGAAACCACCCAAACTATGGCCAAGTAAAATAAACTTCTCCAGGTTTAACGATGATCTCCACTGCTCAATAGACTCGACCCACTTTTCCTCTACTGCAGCGGCGTCGACTGGGAAAGAAGGTCGAGAGCTTCGTCCGAATCCGAGAACATCAAGTGAATACACAGGGCGATAGCAGGCGAACGCATCAATGTTTTTACACCAAAGAGCAGATCCAGAACCAAATCCATGGACCAATACAATGGGAATGGCTTGGTTTGTATCTGTGGTTCTGCCTGTAGGCGATATTTGGTCCGATTTATGACGTCGGAAAACAAAGGTCCTGATGTAGCAGGAGCCATTGAAAATAGGCACGAAAAAAGCCTCGACACCGCTTTTTATTCCTATATGTCAACAGGTTAAAATCGTAAATGAATAAATACGTGACAGCAGTTTTTGCTCCGAGGATTTTAGAAGATCATTTGATGTACGACTCCATCTTAACCAAAATGGAAATCTACTTTCTTTGTTGCTAACGTCTCTGAAAGTGTTATTCAAGAGAATTCAAGACATACATCTCCCCAATATTGCAAGATACCGCCATTCCCAGGAGGTCCAATCGCCACCGCAAGAAATCTAGGCGAAATGATGTGTATAAACAAATGTACTTCACCTGAATCGCGAATTCATTTCTTCCAATAAAATTTGCTTCGTACCCTTTTAAATCGATAAAAAAAACCTTATCCCCTTTGTTTTCTCGTTTCTTAAGAAGTCTTTAGTATTCCTACAGTTAAATCTGGAATAAAAAGTGTGATGGACCAGGAACATTTGATAAACCGAGGAGCAGACTTCTGAATAAAGGGGTCTCAATTGAACGGTTTCAATAAACTCCTTTTGAGAGGATATTGACTATGCACATAATATCATTTAGCCCCAAATTTTGCTACTTATTGGTCTAGATAACCCGCTTGAGTGTATCAATCAGTTGTGAATCATAGCAAAGTATTACGTACAAATAAGTCTTAATCATGGCTAATATTACCATATAATGAGCCGAATGCTTCATTTTGGGTTACTGACTTCAGGATAAAAAAGCCATGGTTGGTGGTGACTTAGGAACTAAAAGGAACGGCACAATGACAGCTATAAAATAGTTTTGCGGTTCATAGTACATCACATATCTTTGTAGAGCTTAGATTATGCTACTTAAGTTGCTTAGAGTTTATTGGGCAAGGTCACGCACTACTGTCAGTATATACACCATTTGCATCATCCTTATACGACATGGTTGTTGATATTACATTATTCGTTCTGCACCTTTCAGTTCCTGTTTTCTTCACGATCCTTGATGTTTCCCTTGACTTAGGTATGCTTATCTGTACTACTATCTTATTTTTTAAATTATTTTGTGAGAGCTCGGTTTCTGTTTTTCCATGAAATTGGGGCGGTGGTGGTGAACTATTTGTGCAGTATATACGTAAGTGCTGATTTTCATGAAAATCACATTTATTGATTTGAATATAGTTTAGGTCATTAATTATTAGCTGACATGTTACTGATATGATTAACGTTGATCGTATCCGAAACCTTATTACTGCAGGCTGGAATATCCTTTTCATTGTTAAGAAATGTCAGTGTTGTGAACAGAGCTCTGGATAACTTCCTATTATTGAGAAGTAGATTATCTTTCTTATTAATGTCATTGTTTAGTATAGAAGCAAGAAATTAATTCAAAATTAAAATTGTAAATTGCCAAACAGTCTGTCGCCTAATACTAAATAATAAGCCCACCTACGTCGGTTATCCCTCTAGGAGGAGCATAGGCCGCCAACCAACACTTTCCATCCAACTCTGTTCTGGACCATCCATTCCGATTCTTTCTTATCGCTGTTCATTTTGTTGATGTCTGCTACCAATTCCGGCGCAGTATGTTCTTTTGCCTTCCTCTTTTCCGTTTCCCTTCAGAATTCCAAGTGAGCACGTGTAGAACTATGGTCTACTATGATATTAGTACTGCTCTAATAATAGACCTAATCCTAAATTTGTAGATTTGTCATGATATAACTGCCTAATCTATAAGATCTTACGTGGAAGTCACACCATCGACTACACCAACTCACTGTATCGTATCAATTACCAATACATGATGTAGAACAAGGTTAGGCTAGAGAAAGAACAATATATTTAATATGAATAGAAGATATAAGGTAACATTCAGCAGAGACCACGCCTGCATGGCCGATCCATGCCACTCGATCAACTCCAGTCCATTCAATTCATTGTTCGCGCCTTCTCCATCGTTAGGTATTTCTCCGCGTTGAATATTGAATATCTATTTTCTGAGTAGTCTCGTGTTCACAGCTTTGTAGATTGTGTGGCTATTGTCCAATGCCACTACACACTTGCTTCGTGATGCAATCTGATGTTTTCTGCAACATGTGTCCTATCCACTTCCAACATCTTTTCCAAATCTCTTTTTCAGGTGGAGGCTGGTTTGTTCTCTCCCACAGTAGGCTATTGCTGATGCTTTCTGGCCAACGAATATTGAGTATCTTGCGCAAACAACTATTTATAAGTACTTGTACCTTTTCGATGACAGCTGTAATAGTTCTCCGAATTTAAACTCCGTTCAGTAGAACTGTCTTGATAAACGTATTGAAGATTCTGCCTTTGATATTGGTTGGCAGTTGTTTGAGTTCCATATTTTCTTCAACTGTAGGAATGCTGTTCTTGATTTGCCAATTCTCGCCTTTACGTCTTCATCCGATCCTCCTTGTTCATGGACGGTGATTCTCTGGTACGTGAAAGATCCCACATCTTCTAGATCTTTTCCATCAAGTGTGATTGTGTTGGTGTTTTCCGTGCTGTATTTGATGATCTTGCTTTTTCCCTTGTGTATGCTGAGGCCTACTGATGCAGAGGCTGCTGTTACACTAGTTGTCTTTATCTGAATTTGTTGGTGTGTATGGGATAGAAGGGCCAGGTCATCTACTAAGTCCAGATCTTCTAGGTGATTCTGAGCTGTCCATTGTATTGCATGCTTTCCCTCAGATGTCGAGGTCTTCATAATCCAATCGACCACCAGAAGAAAGAGGAAGAGAGAGTAAGCAGCCTTGTCTGACACAGGTCCTCTATTGGAATGCGTCTTTCAGCTGTCCACCATGCACAACTTTGCACTGTGGTCTGTCGTATGAATTTTGGATGATGTTGACGATCTTCTCAGGTACACCATAGTGTCGAAGAAGTTTCCACAAAGTCCTCCTATCCACGCTGTCAAATTGTTTCTCATAGCCAATGACTGTTCAACGATGATCCATGGTGTCGCGATTTGGTCTGTTCACGGTCGATCCTTACGGAATCCGACCTGTTGATCCCCACACTGGTCGTCTACTGAATCTTTCACCCGGCTGAGCAATACTCTGTTAAAAACTTTTCCTGGTACAGATAGTAGTGTGATACCTCTATAGTTTTAACATTTGCTCAGATCTCTTTTCTTTGGTATTATGATGAGGTGTCCTTCCCTCCAGTCTATCGGTACATGTTCGTCCTCCCAAATCTTTCTAAATAGAACGTGGAGCATGCTTGCAGTTACTTGCATGTCTGAATTCATTGCCTCAGTCGGTATGTTGTTAGGTCCTACTGTTTTCTCACTCTTTGATTTGTCTGATGGCCATGCTGATTTCTTCCGTCATTGGTGGAGTGACATCTATGGGAATGTCTGTGTATGCTGCTTCCATGTCCGGAGGGTTCAGTGGAGCTGGTCTATTCAATAGTTCCTCGAAGTATTCCACCCGTCTGTTCTTGAATCTCGGTGATTTGTTTTTCTTCTTTGTCCTTGACTGATCTCTCTGGTTTACTAAATTTCCCTGCTAGTTTCTTCGTTGTGTCATATGGCCGTGTCATATTCCCTTCTCTTGCAGCTTTTTCCGCTGTCGTTGTTAGGTCTCCCACATATTTACGCTTGTCGGCCTTAATGCTCCTCTTCACTTGCTTGTTTGCTCTTGTGCATTCAGCTTGTGCCTTGACTTTCTCTGCTCTTATTCGGCTGTTGTTTATTGCAGTCTTTTTGTTCTTCCTTACCTGAATCTTGTCTAGGGTTTCCATAAAGATCCATTACTTATGATGATGCTTCTTTCGGCTCAGAACCTCCTGACACGTTGAAGTCAATGCTTCTTTGATCCCTTCGCAGCTGTTCTCCACAGTAGTTTCTTCTCATTATTTGAGTAGATCTTGTAGGGCTTGGAACCAATTGTTGAGAATGATCTTGAATTTGTTGAGTTTGTCAGTATGTCAAAGGAAGGTTGTATTGAACTTCTGTACTGCTGTTTCTCCAGCTGTCCAGGGTTTCTTTAGTTTCGGTTTCATCTTGGCCACAACTAGGTGGTGATCTGAAGCTGCGTCAGCTCCTCTCCTGGTTCCCACGTGTTCCATTGTCCCTCTGAATTTTTGAGTGAAGCAAATATGATCGATCTGGTTCTCCGTGGCGTGATCCGGTGTGGATCATGTAGCTGTGTGTATGTGTTTGTTTCGTAATATTGTGCCGCCTATAACGATTTTGAAATTCACATAAATTTGCAAATGTCTCACCATTTTTGTTGCTTTCCCACAGTCCATGTCATCCCGTGATATCTTTATATCCAGTGTTGTCCATTCCGATTTTGACGTTTAGGTTTCCCATTAGGATGGTCAGGTCTTTTCCTGGGCACTTAGCTATGATTGATTGTAGCCTCTCATAGAACTGATCCTTATTGTTGTCGTTGTTTTCTTTGGTGTGTGCACAACACTGGATTTCACTCATAGTGATCCCATTCCTTTTTTGAAGGATGCTCTGGTGATCCTGGACTCATGAGATTCCCATCGTACAGGTGGATTTCTTGCTTCTTTGTACAACATCAGAGCAACTCCTTGAGTGTGTGGAGCTATTATCTCTTCGTGACCGGAGTGCAGCAGCATCTCTCCCGTATCTAGGCTTATCTGTTCAGCTTGGATCAAATGTGCTTCACTTATTCTGGGCATCGCCAAGTTGTGCCTCCTCATTTCCACAGCTATTTGGTTGGTCCGCCCGGTCCCCCACATTGTCCGGACGTTCCGTATACCTATAAAAATTGTTGCCCTGTTTGTTAGAAGGGACATCGGCTTCGTGACCTCCGAAGAATCTTGGCTTTCATCCTGAGGCATTATAATTCTCCCTTCAACTCGGAGGGCAGAGCTTTAATGGTTCAACTTGTTTAATCTGATCGGCGTTTTTTAGCAAGATTGTTTTCTACGGGATGTGGTTGCAGACCCCACGTACAACCCTTCTCCTTGTTGTGGGCTTTGGACTGGCATTAGCTCTAGAAGAGCTACAGGTGGAGTTATGATTTGCAATTTGTAAGTCCGAAAATACACGTACACCTTAACCGTGAGAAACACGGTTTATAAATGTAGAAGCCTTATATAGGATATAAGTGTTTGATCATAAGTATCTTCCTCGCGTATGGAGGAACAATCAAGTGAGATATGTTGTACTAGGTGATTATGGGAAATCAAGCAGTCAGACTAAATCTACCGATCGGGATGGTTGAAACGTGTTATATTTACCCAACCACCTCATACCCTGACGCGCAACGCTGGTTAACATGGGAGTTGGTTGTAATAAACATAGGGATGTCTAAACCAAGACTTGGCATCAATTCATGAAATAATTAACTGTTGGTAAGTTCAGACTACCTGATCGAGTTCTACGAGATAGCCGCAATCATCAATTGTAGATGTCGAGTAACAGTTGAGGACCAGTCACACTAGCCCAAATGCACTTACTGTTTATCTTCCTCTAAATCTTGAATTTAAGTTTCCCTTCCGCTTGATTATCGTGATCAGTGGTTAGACACTTTGAATGACATAGCTCACGACCGTTTGCGGTGACGCAAATACATCCACTCTTTGTTTTCCCCAAAATTCTGAGATTCTAAATTTCCTCTTCTTTATTTCACTAATTTCTATTTTGTCGAGTCGTATCTCCAGTCCCAAACCCTTCCTATTACCACTGGTACTGTTACTACCTCTACTTTTCTGAGATTTGGCCCGAAAATTTCATCTTTGCGCTAATGGTTTATGGAGACTTGAAACGATGTACATACGTATCAGGTTCTACGTTGTGACTGATTCATATCCTGTCTTTATACTCTTTAGAACCATATTCCTAATGTTTAGTCATTCTCATTATCATTAATACTGCTATAATATGAACTCATTTGGTATTATGCTTGTTAACTTCATTTTGCTGTGCAACTATATGCTAGACTATACAATGGTTATGATTGACTACTAAGTGTTTGTAAGACGTGGTTATTAAATCTAGGGAATACTTTCATAACGTTATCTATCCAAACAGTTAAAAGCACTGAATGAACATAATTCTGCGGATGGAATATTTAAATTATTCAAGAAGATTGTGATGCAGAATGTTTATAGTATATTCCTATTCGTCCATCTCGAACATAAATATTATTAATGAATAAAAATATTGGAGAAGTTCACTGAGTTACTATGCTTTGGAATTGATTCATTTCATGAAAGAATTTATTTCCAATCTGAGTTAAGTAAAATTGTAATAATGCTTCTTTAAACCACCAGTAGGCCAGCTCGACTGACGTTCTTTGCTTCGGACCCTCTTATTTTTTTACTTAGTCTTGTTTCTGTTGTCTTTTTTATGTCTGTTTTGAAATATAGAGACTTGGGCTAGTGCACTATTGTTCTAGGTTCGATATTGTATCAGCTTGGAATTTATACGTCGTGAAATACTTTATTGTGTTTATAAAATACTTGAGTGTTGTATGAATAGCATTAAAATAATGGTTTTGCTTACTAAAAATTGTCAATGCTTTTTATTCTTTTTAATTAGGATTGTTCATTTGATCCTAGCAGATCCTTGGGGTTTTGTCGAGGATCCTTTAAAAGTTAAAGATCAGTCGAATGTAGGTGCAGCTCAAGCATGGATATTTTCGACTTTCCGTCAAATATTCCGTCCCTTTAATCCTTTATCCTTTCTTCGTGCTGCCGGGCCTTTCGGGCCTAGCCTTATCCACTATTTCCGTCAGGATCTAAGAGGGTTTTTCGATCAAAGACCCATTCGCGTGGAAGAGGTGAGATATGTTTTCGATAAATTTTGTTATCTAAATAGTTGTTGTTGTCTGTTGGAATAGCGAACTATACGATAAGTATAAAAGTGTTTCGAAGAGAAAGTACGTTTATTAGCTTATTGTGAAGACATAGTGGTCCAGCTATACCCCGTAATTTATAGAATTATAATCATATGTTTCACATACTTGCTAATAATGGGTTAGTAATTTTTGTCTGATAATACTTAAATAAATTGAACAAACTCATTCACCAGGTACTTGAGTATGAGCCATACAGAGTGTGAGGTCTCATGATATTACCCGGCTGTCCGGACAGAAGGAAATGGAGCGGAGTTCGAACTTGGAACTTGGTGGCCGAAAGTGGAATAGCTTAAGTACTAAGTCACTACTTCTGTATCTTGTGCAGTTTATTGTATATTAAGATTTAATATATTTCAAGTTGTCTTTAACATGAGTTCATTCAATCTAGAGAAAATTATGGACATATTTACTATATCAGGTGAAACTATTCGTAGTTGATTGTTAAGTATTTATGGGACTTCAGCAGTGTTGTTTCACAAGCAGTTCAGCCTAATTCGGTTTTCTCATTAAGACTGCTTGTTTACAAACGGGTATGACTGTCAGGCGTAAAACGTTAAGTGGGGTTAGTAAGTCGATCAATAAGGCCGTTAATTTCCATTGACTGGAGTGATTCCCATCGGTTTTAAGCACTTCCAATCACTGTTAACATCGATATGAAGTGCTCAATTCTAGATGAACAGATTAGAATGAGAACAGAGGTGAGGATATCAAGAGATTCCAACAGTTTTTGAAGTCAAATACTGTCTTCATATGCCGTACATTTTAATCGGGGTGTAAAAGATAACCGTACTCTGTAGTTGGAAACGATAGCTATCACTGTGTTGTTCGTTTGAATCATCCCATTGATGTTTAGGACTGCAATTGATCTTTTTTTATTGGCATATATGCATCCTGTGCGGATTGCCTTGATGTTGCCCTGGGTCACAAGCATTATAAGCAAAGATGTATGATGGCCAGCAGCGGGATCCAGGACGCTCGTCAGCTGGATGTACCTTTATCCCAGAGTTGATGTTCACTGTTCCGAAATATGGTAATGTAGGTAGATTCGCTCGTTAGTTCTGTGAACTGGAAGTTTTAAAATGACCTCTATTTTCAATTTTCCGATTTACTCTAAACTGGATTTCATTATTACTGTACCGTACTGACCTGCATGTGCCTAAGTGCCCGACAGGATCATGGTCAACTGTAGTAATGAATTCAGGGATAGGCTGACTTTTGACATAGCAGGTTCACACCATTTATATAAGCACGATCAATAATTTGCAACATGGGCTAACAGATGAGAAGCTACCAAGGTAGGCCTTTAAATTAGATAAAATCAGCGGAATCGTATAACAGAATATTCATGCCGATATATTAACTACTGAATAAATATGCTTGCATGTTAGTGCAGTATTGTGATTTCGCAGTCGTTACAATCCGTACAAAAATGGCGCCTTGTAGAAATTATGACGTTGGAGAACATACACCTAACCGAAACTTCACATTTCTGTGCTAAATTTGTGGTGCTGCTTATGCAACGTAACTGTCTGGCAAGTTTACGACTATCACAAAGTACCTGATGAACGGTGCTCGGTACAAGGAAGGTATGAACTTGAAAAAAGCGTACTTGTTTCAGCCGTAAGAAGTGACGCCATGGCTAAGCAATGCAAACGTGATGCTGGAAGAAAGCGAAAAAAAAGATCAGGAATACATTCGGACATAAAAGCTGTTTTGAAAGATGCCTTGATGATCCTGAATCCATGAGATTCCGATACTATAAGTGCTTTTCATGTTTCTTTGAAGAACATCAGTGCAACTACCTATATACACGAGACATTTTCTTCATGATCAGAGTACAACAGAACCTCGCTCGAAGCTTATCTTTTCTATCCAGCTTGCTTCTAACGGTTTTTGCTTGTTCCAAGCTCCTCCAGGTTCTATCTCATTTCCTCAACAACTTGACTGGTCCTCTCAGTCTCCTACATTGTGGCGACATCCAATGTACCTATGTTAATTGTTGCTCTGATTTTTAGAAAAACAATCGGCCTCGTGACTTCTGAAGAATCTCGGCTTTTATCATAAGGCATTATAACTCTTCTAAATGTTGCCCCTTGTACTCCTTGAGCAGATTTAAAACGATTAAAATGAATTTTTCTGGCTGTCGTTTCTTAGCAAAGTTCTTTTTCACGGAATGAGATTACTGACCCTAGAAAAACCTCAGGCAGAGTTGTTTTAGTATTTAAAAAAAATAATAGTGAACCTGTCAATCATCTACGAAGTTTAAAAAGCCTGATAGGATAGTTATATATATATATATATATATATATATATATATATATACTTCGTTAATAAAAGAACTTTAAAACCTGGAAGCAGATTTTGAACTTGTTTTTATCAGTGTTTATCAATTGTCGGTTGGTTGTTTGTTTATTTTAAGTTTTATAATGTAATTGTGATTGGTTTTAGGTTGGGCCTACGGTAATTTGAGAATCTTTTAATGCTAACAAGACTAATGAGAACTTGACAGACTGGACGTCTAAGAAAAACGCTTCAACGGTAATGATCCACGCACCTAATAGAGAAGGGACGTTTTAGGACAACGTTATCTTTCGAACCAAAAATCAAAAATTCAACAACTCCATTTACAAAGTAACACTCATTGACGTTGGGATGCATAAGACAACTATCAGACTGTAATTAAAAACAACTAATCTGATAACAGTGTAGATCACTACTGAAATATAATTTAGAAAAATGTCATCGAGATTATTCTTTAAGAAAAAAAGATAACATGTAAGTAATCTGAGTTCTCCTTAGCAGTTTATACTGGCGAATTGGTAATATGTTACTCGGTTCGACGATTTCGTCTTCAGGCGCTCTCCGTAATCTGAGTGGATTTTTTTATAACTTGCATGAAATTCATGCATCAATGTTAGACACTTTTCTTGTTGTAAATGTCTAGTAAGTAAACGATAATGTGTAATTTTAGATTACAATTCTAATATCCAACATTTTTTAATTCCTAAGATGACAGAAATACCTCGAGCAGAACAACTTGAATCGACCCAGAATTTTTCTTACGATAATCACATTCAGTCAACTAATGGTGAGGATGATGTTTTCAAGCCTCCATCACCGATCCACAGAACGATGAAGACTGGGGAAACCGTCTATGACAAATCAAATTCCAATACAATGGATTCTATTGATTTAAACGATTTGGATGGGTCTGTAGCTTTGGATTACGTCTATCATATTAACTGTCAGCATCCAAGGTACCATTGTCTTAATTACATCTATTGGTTTTTTTAGCTGGACTAAACTGTTCACCATCTGATTACTGTTATTTCGCATAAATAAGTTCGTGTTATTCAGGAGTAGAAAGAAAAGTAAATTGTCTAAGGGATTGTAACTATTTTTAACTTTTGTGAGGCTTTTTCAGAGGCTTTTCCTAAATGTTTAATTATGTCAGGATCAGTGGTCGTATATAGACAATAAAAACCAACTTATCCCGTCAAATGAGAGTGATTTCCCCCCTATTTTCGTGTTAAAGTAACTAGAGGTTCTTTATTTAATTAGATTTTTGGTTTATTTAGCAAGAGTAATTAATTTTGTAACTGTTGTATTGTAGGCTTTCGCACATTTTTGTGGTGAATAGTTTCTTCGACTTATGACGGCTGATTCTCTTAGTCATATATATATATATATATATATTGAGTATCTGCACGTTGGTATTCTCTTCTCGAATCAATTTGCTGTCCGCAAATGTCTTGACTCTGTATACGCATAAGTCTTCCAGTGCATGTGAGCAATACGCTCTTAAAAGTGATGCACATCATTCTAGTTGGATGAATGAAAATCTATATCTTGTTTGTTTTAGAGGTGATTATCAGTGAATAGAAGGGTGGAAATTCTTATCCAAACGATATCGTTCCGTGATTAGGCATATGATGAATATGTAGGAAGTCACGAGTCGTGACCCTATTTTCTATAAATGAACAACTATTAAGAGTTTAGGATGTAATCGAGCGAATTTTAAAACTTTTGATACACTAACCACCAGTTACATCAAGGAATGAAAATAGGCACCATGTTATAGCATGAAAGTAATTATTGTGAAATGTGATCTAGCTGTAAGCTATCGTTATTTTAACTAACATCTGAGCAATGACATTTGAATTTCGCCTGTAGATGTATGCTAACTATATAAACAGTTCACTGTATGTAGCGAAATTTTATGATCCTGTTTTGTTGATTTTATAAGTAGCTTAGCATACTGTCTTCATGGTCAATGTTTAGATGAAGATCCATATGCTGTTACCACAAACACTGATTCTGCTTTTCATTCGTTCTTGTTATAAGTAACCTTTTAGTTATAATTTTTATGTATAATTATCAGTAAATTGACTATTTATTATTTCTGCAAAAACACTTGCATAACATTGCTTTCTGGATTTTCCATTCGATTTATTGTCTTTCGATATTACTACGATCACATTGTGCTCTATGAATTATTGTTATCTGTGTGGGAAAAGTCTTTAAAATTGTCAGTGATTCAACTTTTAATTACCAAACTGCATAACTTAGAAAACCTCGTATAACAGTATATGATCATTTATAAACTCAACATAACTTCTGTTTTTCATAAAACCTTTCTTTATAATTCTTTGAATTCTAGCGCTATATGGAATTAATTTTCATTTGTCAAAGGATAAACCATAATAGCATATCAAAATGTTTGACATCAAAATTCATTGATTTATACAACCTAGTTTATAATTTAACATAACGTTAATTTTTCAGTTGCTCAATTTTTTTCAAAACAAGCGATACCACTGTACTCCATAAATCTCATAGTAACCATCTGTATATATATATATAATCTTGGTACAGTTTTTGACATGAAATTAAGTTTATCACATCACATGTTGTGTCACGTTTAAATAGAAACAAAAAAAGTCACATATTACAACGGAATGTTATTAGGCACAAATAGAACAACTTAACTATGATACCCGGCGTGATTATTATCAAAACATTTGCGGATTGTTTGCAAGTCACATTTAAAAAGTCTGACCCAGTATACCTTCTGTCAAGTAAACGCTTTTAAATTAGCCATTTAAAAAGAATTACTGGCAACATACCAGGATTTACTACTTCTGCATTGAAAAATCTCACTGAAAGCAGTTTTTATTCTAGATTTGTGTATACATATAGTGGTAATCGCTCATGCTAAATTTTAAATCGTTTAAATGCCTCATGCTAATCAACCGTATAAGAATTTATTAAGCTTTGTTTATTACGCTGTTCATAGACCATGAAATACTTGCGACAATAAAGTATCAAGAAATTCGTTGCAAAAAACGAAATCACAATGTCGTAAATGTACGAATCAGGAACTTAAGAACGCACAATTCATGTACGATTACAGTCAAGATGTGAATATCATGTTGTTTTACAAAAATATGAAACACTGCTACTGATGATGTTACTAATTTTTCTTACTCTGGCATTCTTACTACTAATCTTATCTCACTATGCCTGTGCGATGTGACAATTGGATGCCATTCACATATATTAACCCTGTTTGAGCATGAGCTGTCAATCAGGACTCTCCATCCAACACTGTCTTGGGCTCTCCTTTCCAGTTTTTGACAATTGCTGTCCATTATGTCAATGTCTGCCTCCCATTCCCGGCGTAATGTGTCTTATGGTCTGCCTCTTTTCCTCTTGCCGTGAGGATTTCAAATTAGGACGTACTATGTGATGCAGTTTAATACTTTCCACAATGTTATGGCCTATCCACTTCCAACATCTTTTCCTAATTTTTTCTTTGGTCGGAATCTAGTTTGTTCTCCGGCGCAGTAGGTTGCTGCTGATGGTATCTGGCCAACGGATCTAGAGTATCTTACGTAGACAGCTGTTTATAAATACCTGTACCTTTTTGATGATGGTTTTGGTAGTTCCCCATGTCACAGCTCCGTGTAGTAGAACTGTCTTGGCGTTCATATTAAAAATTCTGACTTTGATGTTAGCTGACAGTTGTTTTTGAGTCCTAGATGTTCTTCAGTTGCAGGAATGCTGCCCTTGGCTTTGCCAATCCTTGCCTTCACATCTGCAGCAGATCTTCCTTGTTTATCAATGCTACTGTTCAGGTAGGTAAAAGTTTCCACCTCTTCCATAGCTTCTCCACCAAATGTGGTTAGGTCGCTGCTCGCTGTGTCGTATTCTAGGAACTTGCTTTTTCCTTTGTGTATGTTGAGGCCTAATGCTGGAGAGACTTTCTAAATTGACTGTCTTCGCCCGCACTTGTCTGTGTGTATAGGATATATGAACTAGGTAATCTGCGAAGTCCAAATCGTCTAGTTGCATGAAAACTATCCACTGTTTTGCGTAATTTCTCTGAGCTTTAGAGGTCTTAATGGTCTAATCAACCACTAGAGGAAATAGAAAAGGAAAGAGTAAGCAGCCTTTTCTAACATTGATCTTCACTTGTAATGCATCTGTGAGCTTCCCTCCATGCATGAATTTGCAGCATAGTTCTTCACAAGAAGTCTGTATGATGGTGACAATCTTCTCAGGTACACCATAGTATCGGGAAACGTTCCATGAGGCTTTCCCATCAACACTGTCAAATGCTTTTTCATAGCCAAAGAAGTTGATATATAGTGGTGAGTTTTATTCAATTGATTGCTCAACAATGATCCGTAGTGTGGCCATCTCGTCAGTACACGATTGATCCTTACAAAATCCAGCCTGTTGATCTTGAAGTTGGACATCTACTGAATCTTTCATTCGGTTCAACAACACTCTGTTGAAAACTTTTCCTGGTACTGACAGTAGTGTGATCCATCTGTAGTTCTCACAATTGCTCAGATCTCTTCTTTTTGGTATATTGATGAGGTATCCCTCTTCCCAGTCCGCTGGTATTTGTCCCTTCTCCCAGATCTTTCAGAAAATAGTGTGGACATCTTTGCAGTCTTCAGACTTACAAACTTTAGCGCCTCCATAGCTATATTTGAATTGCTTTTGTTCTGTTTGGCGTCCCTTTAGTAGGTTTTTTGTGTACAGGATGTGGGTGCTAATTTTATTGTCAACCCTTGTTTCTCATTCATAATCGGGTTCAGCAGTATCCTTATTTCAGTAGGAATTGGATAACGAAGTAATAGGTGAGTTCAAGGTGTCGAGTACTATTCAAATATTGAGGCTTAAGCTATGTTTAACGTTTCATGGTTGTGGTTTGAGAATGGTTGTTAAGAATCATATCGTTATAATTGCTTGGTTTATTAAGTACTTACTTTTACTCAGTGCTATCGTCTCACTCGTATGCCAGCCGGAAATATGTGTGAAATGAGGTTATAATTGTTTTTTCTCCTTTTTTGGCCAGATACAAAGCGCAGGAGAATACGAGTTTTGATCAGTTGAATGAGGAGAAGAATAATCTTTTTTAATCTTGGCTGGAAGTGTCTTTGGAAACGCAGTATCAACTGCAATATACTGTTAAGTTATCCCATGGTTATATTTCCTGAACTCAGCATCGCTATTTCAGTGACTCGGATCGTGGCTAACATAATGTCTGGCATTTTAGGGACGCATAGTTGACACAGTTCTAGTGAGTATATAAATGTCGGTGCAAGTTAGCTCGACAATACTACTTCTCATAAATTTAGAGCTTCAACAGGACACCAACTAGAACTTAAGTCTGAGACACCGTTATTCAACACAACCCCGGAGAAGTTCTAGTGGGATTCGTTATTCTTCTCAGTTTTTAAACACATAGTAGTTGTCGAACAGCTGTCATCGTGTCCACGTGATCGCGGAATAAGTCAGCAAACTGTTTTATTCATTTGTTTTCGTTAATCGTTAAGAAGTCAGTCTTTAAGTTCTCCACGTTAGCCATAAAGTCGGCAGAAGCTACACAAATCAACTTCATGAAGGGTTGCAAATAAACCGATGCTGCGGATTTGACATGGCTTCAAAACGAATTGTTTGACTGTCACAGTGAGTAGTAGTGGACGACTGCGTAGCTCGATATGAAAGAGAATGAAACAGATGCGGAAGCAGTACCTTCTGTCTAATCTATATGTGACATGCTTTTATTAGCTACTGGACATTATCACTGTCAATCTACTGCTCAGTTTGCCTCACTTAGTTTTTCGGAAAACTTTTAAGCTCACCACACAACTATTTTAAAAGTCCGGAGTGTAAAGACCGAAATTCCAGCATCTGATGTAAACTAAACTTAATTCGTCTGGAAAAAATTACGATCACTTGTGTAGCGTACAAACCGTTTTTGAGTGACTCGTTTTAAATTATGTTAAAACATAAAACCCGCGTTCTATTTAAACGATTATAATTTAGGAAAGCGAATCGAATTGTGTCAGAAGCACAATGTCTGTGATATACAGTCAAGGCTTCTCTTACACAAAATAACGTACAAACAGTGAAAGATATTGTTAACAAATAAGTAATTGGCATCTGGTAGTCAGTAGGATTATTACCAGCTGATTAGAATCAAATATCTATCCGCAAAAATTCAAGCAACTGACCCTAGAAACAGTCAGAGGTCTGTAGTGGCACTTGGTCTTAATAGACATTCAGTATTTAACACGAGAAAAACCCAATGATGAAGAGGGCGAGAAAAATGAATTGAATTAATTGTAGTTGATCGTTTGGCATTTCTCGGCCATGCAGGCGTGTTCCCTGACGAATGTTGCCTTATATCTTTTGTTCACATGAAATATATTGTTCTTTCTATAGCCTACGTTTGTTCTCTATCACGTGTTAGTAATTTTTACGATGCAGCGAGTTGATGTAGACGATGATGTGAATTCCATGTAAGATCTTATAGATTAAGCAGTCATATCATGACAAATCTACAATTATAGGATTAGGTCTATTGTTAGAGCAGTAGTAATATCATAGTAGACCATAATTCTCCAGGTCAACGAATATCAACTGAACCACGTCGTAACTTTGAACTCAGTCAAACGCCACTTCGTTGTTAATGGCTCGAGAACGAGTAATTAATAAAGTTAAATCTTTAGCCAAAGTCGAATAATGCGTTACAAACACAGTAGCAAAACGGCCAAATTGCTTATGGTCAACAAACGAATGCCCTATGTCAAAGCAACTATCCAACCTAGGAATCCATGATGTCATGTGAAAGGTTGATTACGTGTCAGTAGTGTAACATTGATGTTTCCTGAATAAAAGACACTTGCGAAGTCATCTGCAAATAAGATAGGAAATAATTATTTCAGTATAAATGTTTACAAGGAACTAACACAGAAAGAAGAACCAGTATTTAATTACAGATCTGAAGTGCATTGTGTTCACCTTTTCATTGAATCACTATCCACGCTTATTTAGGTTATTTCTTGTTTCGTGTAAGAAAGCCTGGCTCGATACCTCCATGGCTTGTGTTATTTGGTTCTCTGTACAGGTTGCACTTCAGAACCGTGAACACAAAACATCTATAAATGTATAAAAACCGGTACGTGAAATAACTTTGAATCGTCCTGTAGAACGTGTTGTGTCTGACACTTATTTTACTTTTAATCAAAGGTGAAATATTAGCAGTTGCCAGTTCCGGTTTCAGCACATAAGCTAGAGACAGCTTGTTTGATTCTCGAAGACCGTCACATAGTATCTCTGACAATCTGGTCACCTGAAATTTTATAAACACTAATCACAACTTACGAACGGGTCATGAAACCTGCGCTTCTTCAAAGCATTTTCGAGAGTTCGCATTTCCTCAGGTGTTTTCAGCGGGAGTGCGCGACTCGAAATGTCTACGTTATCGCTGTGTCTCTCCTTAACACCCATGGATGAACATGTGATGTAAGTAGTCAGTTTGTCGAATTTGTTAGATAGTTCATTGACTGCTTCCAAGTCATTTTCAATGTTTATTGTCATCATTGTACACCCGATTGCTATCATGTTCACATTTACTACAACGTACGGCTTACTAACTTCCTTCTAAGAAGATTGAAGCAGTGATGAAAAATATCTATTTTCGATTAACTGCTTTATGAGTATGAATGCACAATGTACTTACTTAGCTGTAGAAGAAATGTTCCCAGTCAAAATGTTGGCAAGTCGAAGGTCGACTAGGACGTATTCAGTTCCTATTTCAGCAACCTCTAGTTCTTCAGATGTGTACAAGTAGTCATTCATTTTATGTTAGACAACCTCAACAATGAATGATTTACGTACGTTTATCAATTCGCCCCATCGGCTTTTCAGTTCCACACGGTAGCGTGTCCTCCCCAGTTGTAAATGTGCATTTGTAAGGGAGTAATGTATTGAGTGGTGCTTCCAGTTCCTCGGCTGTATGGTAGTCGTCTGGAAACAATGACCACAAAGTGGCGACAACTTACCACAATGATGCAATACGGTGTATGGTCCGAAGGAGAAGCGACTGTCAGGATCCACAGGATCTAGTAGCTCCTTGTTCAGCAACCATTTGTTAGGGACGACTAAAACTTGTTCTTTTCCTTGTCGTGAACTACGATGTACTGTACGGATTGATGCTAAAAATCGATGCTATAGTGTTAGAAGTTGTAAATTCACTACATTCATGAACTCAAGAACATTTGTAATAACTTCACAGTGAACGATG